TACAGGCTATTTGAACACAGGTATTGATCTCCAAAATTACAATCAACCAATTGGATAACAGAACAAACAAAAAAGAAAATTTTTTTAACAATTCAATTTTTTTGACACCAGTGGGTTATGTTCTGTATTTTAATGCACAGCACACTGTTTAAGTTTTGTATTTGTAAAATAAAATATAAATCCAATGTACCATTTGTCCTTCCACTTCATCATTATACACCACTTTGAGTTTTTTTCCCCCCACATAAGTCCCACAAAAACACAATTTTAGATCTTTAACTCTTAAGTAAAAGAAGATTAAAATCCGACGCAGCGGTTGACTCTGCAGCTCTGTCACCTGTCGCCAGGCGGCCAGCCTCCGTCAGCTGGAGGAGGAGAACCACGACGCGGCAGCCCGTCTGGAGGAGGTGGTGTACCGCGGCGACATGCTGCTGGAGAAGATCCAGAACGCGCTGGCCGACATCGCCCAGTCGCAGCTTCGCACCCGCAACGGAGCGCTGAGCCAGTCTTCGCCGGCCGAGTCCTGACATCTCATCCTGCCACCAACGGACACTTTTTTTGTTTGTTTTTGTTTTTTTCCACACGGCCAATGTTTATTTTTCAAAAACGTGAAGATCTCTCCACTGCCAAACGTGTGTCTGGGATGAACAACACTAGACTCTCCTATATAGTTTAAAGTTAAAAGCATTATTTTGAAATCAAATAATTGAAGTCATTCTGAATTGTATTTTTCTTATTTATTATTTTTTTTGGCTGGCTTAAGTTAAAAAAAAAAAAGTTAATTCGGACATTCACCCTAGCAACACGTCCACTGTTATATATGTAGATTCTATGTTGTACATTTCATTTGTTGTTTTTTTGACAATATTCTGCTTTTTGACAAATGTAAACACTTCAGTCTGCTTTGAAAACGGTTACAATGTAAATATGTGATTAAAAATACGGAGCAGCATTTCCACTAACAGCCTATACTTTATTTTAGCTGATCTCATTTATGTCCAACATAAATACTTCATGGATCAGGTCTTAATAGCATCGGGGTTTTTTTTGTTGTCTTTTATAAATGAATGATGGGTTTACTCCCACTGTGCTAAACGACAAACTTCACAGCTTGAAAGCATGTTTAATGGCTTCATATGTTGCATTAAAACACCTTTGAGAGATGGCTTCTGTTTAGTATCGGATCTAACATCTCTCATTATAAAAAATGGCCTAAAAAGACAAAACGAATCTACAAACCTATGTGAAAATGTCAGGTTTTAGTGATGAAGCTTTTCTTTATCTAACAGCCTTAGAAAGTGAATAACACCTTACTCTAATACTTTTAAGTTTGTCTCATCTGTGCTGCCTGAAGTCACAAAATAAGTAGAGTTAAGGTGACGCATTGTGGTAGTCATGGCAATTTACACCATTTGAACACCAGGAGGCACTTCTGTAAATATGTTTTAAGGTAATGCCTTCTTCTGTGTGTGACATCATGGGGGAAAAAATCAAGACATCAGGAAGAGAACTGTTAAGCTCCACTATTCTGGTTCATCCTTATTCGATTTTCAAATGTCTAAAGGTGGTACGTTCATCTGTTCGGTTGTGTTCAAGTGTAAGCTGGATTGGAATGGGCGGCCATCATGCCGTCCAGGAAGGAGAACCCAGAATTTAACCAACCATGTAAATAACCTGGCTGAAGATAGTGAAGGTGTCATTAATCCACAGTGAAATGAGTTCAATACCAAGATGTGCCAATCAGAGACGAAAAGCCAGGTCACAATATGGAGCGAACCACTGCAGACAAAGACCATTTTTAAACGATGCTCTGTTTTTAAAGGCCTTTGTTTTAAAATAAATGTTGCCGCATTTACAAGGAAAATAAATATTGAAAGGCTGAGAACAGCCTCTCATCTGTAAAGTACAGGAGTGGCAGCATCATCATGTGTCGACGTTTTGTTGTCAGAAGAATTCCTGGCGCCCTTTCACAAAGTAAAATCTAGGAAATGTAATAGAAACGATTTCATTTTGGCTTTTACCAATACATCTGGAAATACACATTGACCCAAATTAGGAAAAAGTTCATGACAAACTAAGAATAAAAAGGTTGCATATCTTTTTATCATGTATAAGTAAATATCTGGTTACAGCCATACATTCAAATTCATAAATGGAATTAAAGAATTTGGTCACCAGAAGATGGATGAGCAAAAAAAAAAAAAAAAAAAAAAGATGATATATCTGCAGAGATGGTAAATTTACCTAAATCATTGAGCCACATTCTACAAAACTTAAATACAATAACTAATGACAGTGTTTGAATCAAATTGCACTTCAACAAAGTTTTAGTTTAACCATATTAATGAGGTGGAAACGTTTGAAAATGACCTAAAAATTAACTTGTTTTTTTTTACATCACAACAACCCTGCAGTGATAACAGGTTTGTATTCTTTTTTCTATCCTCTGAATTGATATCATTCTTTCCAAGTTGTTGTTTCCTAATATACAGACGGGCATCAACTCATGTGACTTTTACAGAAAGTAGAACAAAAACTTACATCATGAAAGTGTGAGAGTTTTAGGGAAGTGAGCCCTTATTTTAGTAGATTTCATAATTCTAAAGGGGCAAAGCAGAGCTAGAAAAACAAACTGCTGAGAGGGTAGAAAAGGAGAAGTAGTCAGATGAGACTATAACCAAAATTATTTCAATTTTTAGGGCTTTAATTTAATTTGATCCGAGAGGCTTACAATATCTTTAGGTGTTCCTCAAGGAACTGTCTTTAGTTCCATCTCCTACTTTTAATTTTTTTTTATTTTAAATTAGCTGAAATTATCCTTATCTATCCTTGCATAAATCCTTCGGTTGAGTGTTTTACAATCAGCAAAAAGATATATAAATGGGACATTCCAGGTAAAATAAATGTGTAATAAAAAAAAGATGATCAATAAATGCAAAGGGAATTGGTAATTACTTTATTATTTAAACTAATAAATTTAATGACAACCTTTTTACATGACCCACTGATTATTGTGGTTCAGTTGAGCGTCTTGAATCCGTTTAAACCTAAACTTCACGCAGCATGGGCTGCAGGCCAGAAAATGCACCAGCCAAATCTAAATATAGATGCCGTGTCACAGCTCAGTGGGCCCCATTGATATGAAAAACATAAAAACAGCCTTGTCTGTTGCTCACCACACCCAGACATGCTGGCAGGGAACACCCACCTTTCCTCTATCCCGTGACGTCACAGCTCTAACGGTAAAAGGCCAACCAGCCGTCCAAATAAGGAGATTTATGACAGGAAAATGTTAACGTCCACTCTTAACTTGCTGTGTGCTTTGTTTGGGTCAACAGAACTGGGTTGTCAGTGATACCTCTGTGTTTATCTGTGATTCCCAGGACTAATCAGGTCCATCTTTTGTTGCTCCGTACACATCTGCCCTAAAAACCTTTGGGATGTTTTTTTTTGTTTGTTTGTTTGTTTTTTTTACAAGGAAACATCGAAAGCAACCTTGATAGAGTGGTTGCGCTCCCATTGGACCTTTAGAGGAAGTAGGCTGGTTTCCAACTGGCTTTCTGCTTTGCACTTTGATTTAAACTGAAGGCCTAATTTTTTTACCTCGTTTAAAACAATGAATACGTTTGTAGTCAGAAGTGTGAAAGTCCTCGGAAAATTTTCTCATAATGAAAGTCTTGGAGTCTTATCGTGGTTTATGGTTTTATTGCTCAGGTTAATGTACACAAAACCTCCATCTGGTGTAACTGCCTTACTTTTACAGTCAACGGCAATAGTCATACATGTATAATCAATCCCTGATCTTAATTTGCCGTGTCATTTGCAGTGCCATGAAAAAAATGCTCTGTCACTCATATTTTATTCATATATCAAACAGATTCTAAAAACAGAAAGAAAGCTTTCCAACTACAATTTAATTGATTTTGTGAAAAGAGAGCTACCCAAACTGTTATTTGTTTTTCAATTAAGCCCCAAGCAAAGTCCACAGAATATTTCCCCGAAAGTCTTTGTAGAAATCGTCAGGCATTTTCTTGGTATTTTGTTGTTTTTGTGTGTGTGTGTGTGTGTGTGTGTGTGTGTGTGTGTGTGTGTGTGTCTGTGTGTTGTTGTTTTTTTGACTAACTGGGTGAGTAGTTGATGCAATCTTGCTTTAATTTAGGTAAGCTGGTCTGTGGTGGGAAGGTTCACAACCGTTCCACATTTTCTCCATTTGTGGTTGATGACTCTCACTGTTGTTGACTCGAGTTCCAAACCTTAGAAAATGTCTTTGAAACTCTTTCCAGACGTCTAGATCTTTAGCTTCAGGAACAAAGTGTTGCCTTTTTAGCCTATTTCATGTGTTGTCAGACATATTCTATTTAAGTGATTTCTCCATTCTACACATCCAGCATTAATAAGGCCAGGATATAGCTAATAAAATGTAAATGAAAAACATATATCAATCAAATGTCAATACCTGACTTAATAAAGGAGACAGTTACTTTTTCACATAGGATAAGATTGGGTTATTTTGCTTCATAGGTGAAAATAATTATTTCAAAACTTTAAAAAAATATATTTACTTGAACTATTTTATCTGATAGTTTTTCAAATAGTTTGAGGATGTGAGATATCTTCAAAGCAAACAGTGAAATGATATATTAGGTGGAAATCTTTTCAGCACTGTAAGATGGAAAAACGATCCCTTTTTAAATTATGTATTTAACTTAAACACAGTGACGCCACATTAGCTATTTTTAGCCGGGGTCCGCACAAACCACAGCCCCCAAAATGATGTAACAACGCTCACAACTGGAGGTAGTACAGTATATTCTTCATAGCTACCGAGAGGAGAGCCTGCTAGCCGAATAAACCTGCGTCCGTTGTGTGACGGCAGAGGCACTCTCATTGGTTGAAGCACCTGCTCCTCTACGTTGTGTCCGCGTCGTGATTGGCTAGAGGAAAAGAAGTCGGGTTTCGGACGCCGCTGATTGGCCGACACTCACGTTTTTCTTGTCGACGTGTCTGCGTTGTCAGCCCAGAGCGTCTGATGAGCCCGACGAGCTCAGGAAGCAGCGGTCCTTATTTTATGTTTTGTAGCGACTGAAACGGGAAGACTGGTGATATTTTGAGGGGGTCGGGTAGACAGCTAAAGGCAGTTAAATATTTTCTAATAATTTTAGGTTAGGTTGCTGTCAGCGACAGAAGAGCTTTGTTATGATTTTGGCGTTGATACCGGTGATGTTTACTGTTCATCCTCATAGGTCTCTGACGGATAGCCAATATTAACTGGTTCCTCCAGCCTGAAACTGCCTATTTATTAGGCACAGACCGGATTATTTTACATATTTTTTCCTTATATTGCTGTGTGCTGGCGGCACGCCAATAATTGACTCTGGAGCAGGACACGGAGGTAGGTAAAATACAATAAAATGCATGTGAAATGTAAATACACCATGTTAATACTGTCTGAACAGTGCTTATTTGTAATAGAACCTGCATAAGGTAAGGGCAAGTTTATTTTGACGTCAAAGCAATTTGGAATGCCTCTGAAAATAAAATAAAATTAAAAACACAAGAAAAAAATGAACGAAATCCAAAAAGAATAGCTTTAATTCTAGTTTGAAGAAGCTGGTAGGTTAGTTAAGCAATAACAATGACTGCTTTATAACAGTACGCCTGATGCACTCACTGATATTATAGATGCATTAAGTCAGACACTGTAAAACACTGTGGGCATGAGGGTACTCAAATAGAAACTTGTATCATCAGCATATAGTATGAGATGTAATCTTATGCAGTCTGAGTTTGAGGAACCGTGTGGATATTACATAAAAAGTGACCCGAGAGTGGAGCCTTGAGGACCTTTGATCTACATGTGTATTTATGGATGTAAATAACCAGAAGCACGCAAATGCAGTTGTATCTCAGACAGGATGATTTTGATAAGGTGTTGCAAAATGTCGTACACAAGAGCCTGAGTCATTTTCTCACTTAAAATACCACAAGTTTGCAATACAACGTTAAGTACTAAAAGATCAATTTTATTTAAAACAAAAGCAAATCAGTTCTACTCCAGCTAAAATAATACAGCATATTGATTATTACAGTTATTTAAGATAACAACAATCATTGTTTTTAAGGGAAAAAGACAATGTCTTCTTTCAGCCAATAGACTGTGGCTGACGGGAACAATTTATTAGAAAATTTTGCAGATTTTTTTTGTTGTTTTTTTCTTCAAGGTTTTCTTTTTTTGGTTTAATTTGTGTAAATCTTGATTTTGGCAGCCGGCTCATCCCTAAATAAAAGTGACCCGACAACAAAGCCTTGAGGAACCCCACATGCAAATATTTTTAGAGTTAGAGATCAAGATTACTAAAAAACATAATGCAAACACATTTTTGTGTCTAATGTATAAAGAACACAGACAGCAGCAGAGCGTTGTCAGGGTGGCGTTGTTCTGGAGGAGTTGCAGAACCATCTGCTAAACCAAAACCTGGTCAGGTGCGTTAATGTAATTCTCTCTGCAGGTCAAAATCTACAAATGCAAACTTAAACATGCATCATTTGAATTAAAGCAACTGTGCAACACATTCAAAACGTACCAGATATGTTTGTTGTTCAACTTGCTTAGAATCTGAAATATGCCTGTTTCCTGTTGCTTTCGTTTTGGATGAATTACAAAGTTGTCATTCCTGAGCATAAGCCTAATAATCATTGTTTTATTAAATGATTAAGGACTCTTTTTTTCAGACAGCAGTAGGTTGGGTTGCATGAAGCAGGTCTGACTGATGATCATTTTCTTGTTTGGGTGTTTTGGGAGTTTTTGCTCGTGTGAGCTCGTGTGTGTTCTCAGTGGCGTCACAAATGAGTCGCCTCATTCAAGACGGAAAACAGTGCTGTAAGGGTGGAGCGCGTCTGATTGACTGGAGAATTTTACACATTCTGAGAAATCCGGGTTTTACAAGGATAAAGGCCTTTTTGTTTTTTTTGTTGTATGTCTTTTTTGGGAGGGGGGGAAACTGCTGTGAATTAGATTCAGCTGGTTACCTGTAAGCCGGTGGATCTCAGCGTTTTGAAGAAGCTTTTTAAAATCCTGTCAAAACGCTGTTGCACTAGATAATTCCCCAAGTGTCAGCACTTGTTACAGGGGGAATACTTTTTAATCTGTGGGACTGCTGCGGTTCTGCAGAGTAACCAGAACAACCGTCTTGTTGCCATCTTGAACAAATGGAACTGTTCCGTCAGAGCAGTAATGCCGTACCCTCCCTGCTCCGCTGGACGCTCTTGTCGTTTTTAGTTTTAATGGGCTGCTTCAAGCTTGCATGCTTGAGCTTCTAAACAGTCTGCTTGCATTCATAATGCCTTCCTTGTTATTGCCTGAGTGGTGCAGCCTTGTTTGTTTAGCTACAGGGTGGATCTGGTTAACTTCAAGCCAAACTCAGTCCCTTCAGATGGATTTAAAGGGCTGTGCAGCTCAGCTGGAGTGCAACTAGCTTACAGCTGGTTCATTTTCTACATCCTGCTGGATCCAGGTCGTCCATATAACACCTTCTGACCAGTTCGTAACCATTTCCACCTGTGTGTCTTGCTTCTTCGTATGCATTTTGAAAATATATTTGCGATGCGTTACTGTTACATATTTACTATGTATGTAACAAGTCTGTATGATTAGTTTCAGTTTTTGAATTGAATAACTGAGATAAATTAACTTTTGAATGGTTTTCCAGATTCCAGACTTTCTCAGGAAAGTTGCTCACGAACTTTCCTGGGAAAGTTCGTGAGCAACTTTCTCAGGAACGAAGTTTAGATGAGTGAATAATTTAAACATCATCATGGCATGTCAGCGGAGCTAAACTTGAACGCCCAAGAAAATGTGTGCAGCCGCTGTTTAGAGTTGAATCATAACTAAAAGCCAATCTGACCTGGACCCGCCCGTGTTGTTTTTGTGACATTATTGTTCTCAGTTGAAATGAAAACATCAAAAATGGAGGATTTCTGTAAAGGAGAACACTTAATGCAAGGATTTTGTTACCATAAATACACGTCATGGTCTTATATGTGAAAGTAAATGTATTAAAATTAAAATTTCAAACATCATGAGCTGACTTTGAATGCATTGTGAAGGGTTTGGTGGATAAATGAATCCCTTTAGATACCTGAATGTAGAAGTTGCACAGTGAAAACTAAAGCAGAAATGTCGGACCTCACTGATTGGAAGAAAAACAGGGGAAGAGTGCAAGCCTGAGAACACTCGGTTTGGTTTGCTGTGGGAGGAACTGGTGCACTTCACCAATTAGGTTGTATCACAAGGAAAGAACATTTTCTGGAAAAATCGAGACAACAGCTGAAGACTTGGGCACATTTTGTCCTCAAAGCGGATCGACGTAAACACGATCACAGCACAATGCTTTGACCTTTAGAATTCTGCAGCTAAAAATGAACCGAAGTATAAAACTCCAAGTATAAATAATAAAAACTAAAGAATATTTTACTAACAACTAACAAAAACTATCAAACCGACTGTAAAGACTAATTAAAACTTACTGAATAAGACAAAAAGTCACAATGAAATAAAACTAAACTATTATTAAAAAAAAAATCCAAAACTGTTATAACCCCGTATTGGCCTGTTTGAGCCAGTGGACTTGACTCAGTTACACCAGTTTTTTTCAGGAGGAATTGTTCCAAATTCCATAATAACCATTCTATTTTACTCAAGTCATTCAGTTTAAATGTAATTCCACTCACACAGCACATGCAATAATCAAGTTCTACCCGTACTTCCACGTGGCAGGTAAGAGCCATGGCTGTTTTCATCAAACAACGCTCAGACCAAGAGTAAACGGTGGAAATTAAACAAGCTGCAGCAAAGAGGATCATATTTCTTTAATAAGCAGAATGATATTGATCCCAGTAATGAATTTTCCTCCTGCAACGAGTTACCAGAATTCATAGGGCTGCAAAAACCGGTAGCCCTCCTTCTAGAGACACACTGTCTGCATAGGAAGTTAGCATACATTACGCAGTGCATTACTTCCAAATAAACCCATAACCCGGCCTGGAAAATCTGTCATGCCACAGCCAGTCGGTTACACTTTCCTCATTATGTCAGTCTGAAACGCAAGCCGCTCCGCTAACGTGAATGAGAGGAAGGTACGCACTTCTCCCCAATGGAAAGAAGCCATAAGGTTTTCCCAAACGTCACTGCATGCGCTCGCACTAGCTGCGTTTATTTGGCTCGCGCAGCCAGGATCCACTTAATGAGGAAAAACCAGAAACTGTCGGCGGCGGGCTCGTAGAAAAACAGGCCTGGGGTGAAATGTTCCCACTGTCATGGCTTCTGATGCAGAGGAGTTCACAATTTGCAATATTTAAACTCTAGCTGTCTGATTTGTTTTGGAAAAATACCCCCAGAAATCCAGCTAAAATGCAGTCTCTAATAGCCTGTATTTTTAATTTTATTAATTTTTTTTTATCTTTACAGCAATTACTTATTTAAGTGATGAACCCAGTTGCTTTCAGTATTAGTTCCACTATAAGGGATTTTATAACTTTGGCAAAAGTTGATACACAGTACTAATTCCACCTTTACATCTGTAGTCGTGCAAGGATGATTTTAAGTATCATATTCAACACATTGATTTCTAAGTATAATATTAGCAGTGTAGTAAAATAATATTTAACTAGTCTCAAGGCTTTTAAGTCTCAGCCTGTGGTTCTGGGTTGTGTCCAGAAAGAAAGCTGATTCGTTTAAGAGTAGTTATTCATATTCATACTCGCAGTTATAACGTGTAATGTTAAAAATAATATCTGATATTTAATAAAAATATAAATGACTCAGGTTCCTACTGACTTGGCAGTAAAGACATTTTGTAACCCCTGTTTGTCAAAAGTCCAACTATGTAATTCCCTCCAGGCCTTTTTTCTGTTTTCACAAAAAAAAAAGATCCTAACTATAACTTAGATTTGCGTAAAGCTCCCAAACTGATAAAAAGAGTACTCTATTGAGACTTCCTGTTATTTGCTTAAAGTCTTGCTCTCACTTGACCACATGTCCTAGAAAAAATAGTTTGCTTACAAATAGCTCCTTCCATCTCTGTCCTTCACCTTACCACTCACAAAATTGTCACTTTTCCACCACTCCGGAACCCGTGACTTTGAAGCTGTGTTGTGCGTTATCACCGGAAAAAACGAAGTTCCCGAGCGCCAAATCTGGTTCTAATTGGAAACTATGGATACCTGGTTCTTCAGCATGAACTGTGGTGTCTTCTCCACCTTTATCTTCACCAAACTGAAGATAAAAACAGTAAGCGTATATTTAATATTATCTGTTCAAAAGACCACGTCCCACCGGGAGGAGGTGGGACGAAGACCCAGGACACGCTGGAGGGACTATGTCTCTCGGCTGGCCTGGGAACACCTTGGGATTCCCCTGGAGGAGCTGGAACAAGTTGCTGGGGAGAGGGAAGTTTGGGCCTCCCTTCTGAAGCTGCTGCCCCCGTGACCCGATCCCGGATGAAGTGGAAGAAAATGGATGGATGGATGGATGTTCAAAAGAAAGTACATTTTCTGGGGAAAAAAAAAACAAAAAAACAATGAGCATGATTGCAAACAAGGGCCACAGAGGCAAGGAGGACATCTGCCATCTTGTTTCTACTCTCTCTGGGTATTGCGTATCGCCCCCTGTTGATGTGTTGATGACACATTCTTCATTCCCGGTCGACAGATGGAAACGGGCATCGTCTCTCACCAAAGCCTGTGTCATGATTGGTAGAATATCAGATTTTTCAATTTCTTATCAGCCGGTCTCGAGCGATGATTGCCCAAACTGAAAATTATTCAATTCCAAATACAAGAGTATTTGTTACAAAGTAAGCAATTTGTAATATTTTTGTTACATTTCGAAAATGTAAACACATTTATCTTGAAAGGAAAAGAAAGGGTGTCATAATTGGATAAAGGACTTAGTCTTTCAAAGAAGGATGTAATGGATATTTTTTTTCATGACTTAGCCAGACAGCAGAGAAAAGCCTAGAACCGGCTGTTACGGCCACAGCTTCCTTGTCGGACCCTAAATGGTTGCATTTAGCACCTTTCCTGCCAGCTTTGTCTCCTCTGCTGTGCATTAGATGTGGGCCTCATCACTCCACTCCCCTCAGAGGCCTCCGCTCTTCCACTCACCTCCCTCAGTCACCAGCATCCAATCAAAACGTCAGGATTTTAGTTCTTCTTGTATACTGACAACCTAAACCAAGGAAGAAGAAGAAGTGTTGGGCTGTGCTTCTTTCTTACAGTAACCCAGGTTGACAAAACTCAATGAACCCTGAGCCCGTTTTTTCCTTCCAAATCAGGGACTTTGCAGCAGTGATTCAGAGATTTTTCCCTCAGAAGTCAGGAAGTGTCCTGTTGTTGTGGGACCATCAGGGCCGAAACGGGAAAAGGGCCGGGGGAATAGACGAAACACGGCTCCTATCTCCGTCCTGCAGGGCTTTTTTAATGTCTTTGTGAGCTAATCTAACCCATTCATGCCTTTCTGATGGCGCGCCGCCAAATGTTTTAGCGATATACACGTCCACCCTCGTCCCTTTTTCCCTCTCTTACGTAACGTTTGCATAATCTGCTCTCATCAATATTCAGCTCCTTAAAGAGGAGGAAAATTCAACTTATTTCCTTAGTTTGTCTTTTAAGCAGTCTTGTAGTCTTCGAGTTGGGTTTTAATTTATGTAAAATAGAAAAGCAACAATTATTTATGCTGCTGCAAAAATAATGCAACATACTGATTATTAATGATGATATTTTATTTTTCTTACTGCAGCAAAAAAAAAACAGCTCAATTTAAATTCTGATGATTATTTTTTAAGGCTAATTTTGTTTTTTCCATTGCTTTTGGCTATATTTTATTTTTTTATGTCGTCCTGTATTTGTCTTTGAGAGGGCGAACTTGCACTGTTATGCCATTATCGACACAATATTTGAAAATGGTCTCAAGCCAACGATATTATCGCAATAATTTCTGCGACAATTTATCATGGTGACTTTTTCAGAGCAGGGCTGCACCGGTTGCAGTTTTCTTTTTCACTGATATTTCAAAAAGCCTGACCTGCTGATGCTGATGTTAGGCAGATAAGATCTGTGAATACGATCAGTTTCTCATGAAAAAACTGACTGGTTTATCAGCTGGCCTCATTATGATTCCACCGTCCTCTTTACACTCTAGTCAACAGGATGTTTTCCCAATAGTGTCATCAAGATCTTTTTGATTAGCATGTCTGTTCATGGTTTGTTCACCATTTTTTCCTCAATACTCAGGTGATTTTATCATTAAAACTGATGCCGCAAACACTTTTTCCCTGTATTTGAAGGGGAAAGGGAATCATTTGGCTGTCAAATGTGTTGCTGGGTTTCCTTTGTTATTTTTGGACCTGCCCGGTTTAAACGAAGACCATTAAAGTTGAAAGAGTCCACTCTATTCAAACTTTTAAATGTGCGCTCCTGAAATAAAACCTCATGGGCCGTGAGCCATCCAGCATGTGACTTTCTATTTCATGGCTCACAGTATGAACAGTCAGGCAAAAAAAAAAAGTATTTCAGCGAAAAAAAAAAAAATCTGATTTGAGCATCGAGTGTGAACGTAGCCTAAACACCTCTACACTGTAATCCCGTGCTCCAAATCTCACAAGCAAGTGCCCTGACCCGTTCTCATGGTAACCTGCCAGAACTCAAAACCTGCTTCCTCCTCAACTCATCTGTTTGTGTTTTTGTTGTCCACCAGGATAGCATGGCCATGACGGGAGGGACGGCAGCTGCCCTTCCCATGAGCAACCACACCCGGGAGAGGGTGACCGTGGCCAAGCTAACACTGGAGAACTTCTACAGCACCCTCCTCACGCAGCACGAGGAGCGGGAGATGAGGTAAGCCCCCGGACGAGGCTTCCAAGCGGCTGACGGGAGAGTCGCTGAGGCTAAACGGAGCTGTTGTTTACAGCGTCGAGTTTCACCGCTCGGGCTCGTAGATAAGGCAACCGTCCCCGAGACTGTGTGAACAAAACAAACGCCTGTCACTCTCCTGTTACCTGAGGGTTGATCTGTTGCTCAGGGAACTCCTGTAGGAGACACCCGAGTCTCTGTTTACACCAACACCCTACACCTCCTCTGTCGTATTAATCGCTCTCTGGAAGCTTCCACTCCAACAATTACATCCACAGGCTTATTTGGAGGAAACTAGAAACTGGAAATGTTTTATCATGTATGTTTACTGTGAGTTTTATGCTTTGAATGACCTGTTTTATGTGGTGTCTTCCTCATTTTAGGCAGAAGAAGCTAGAGAAGGCCATGGAAGAGGAGGGTTTGCCTGACGAGGAGGTACAAATCCAACTTTTTCATGTTCTTTTATATTAGATCTACAAATTTCAATAGATTTATTGGGATTTTATGTGATATTCCAACTTATAATAGCTCGGGATTTGTATTTTTTTCCACAAATTAAATCCAGCACAATCAACTGGCTTCCTACGTTTTACATAAATTCAGCTGTAGATGAACTGAATAGACAGTAAAGATATCCAAGGGGCTGGAATACTTCAGACACTGTACAAACACGAAATCACCTCAGAAACCCAAAATTGTAATTTTTGAAGCCACTCGGCCAACTCGGCGTCTCTGTACCATTGCAGAAAGTGATGCGGCGCTCCCAGCACGCCCGTAAGGAGACGGAGTTCCTGCGTCTGAAGAGGACGCGGCTCGGCTTGGACGACTTCGAGTCTCTAAAGGTTATCGGAAGGGGAGCTTTCGGAGAGGTAGGCCACATTTTTTTAGTCCAGAAATGGTTCAGTGAAACTAAAAGTCCAGTTTGTTCAATTGGTGCGAATCTTACATAAAGAACAGGGATTTCCTTGTTTCAGTAGATAACTTTTCATCAAAGCGGACAGAAGTCACATATGGGGTACCCCAAGGCTCAATCCTAGGACCCCTCTTATTCAATATCTATCAGTGAAATAATCAAGTTTATTTGTATAGCAAATTTCAGTAACAAGGCAGTTCAAAGTGCTTAACACCATAAAACACAAAAATAAAGTCATAAAAACATCATACAGTCAACAATTGAGAAACAAGATGGCACTTGAAGATATCAAGTGATCAAGTGACTTGACATCATCAAAAGCAATATCTGCTATTGGTTTTCACAACTATTGACTACATGATTTGTTTGGTTTTTTATTCAATAAACTTGAATGACTGATAAGTTTAAATAAAACGAGGCCTTTTCCTTCGTCTAGGTCCGTTTGGTGCAGAAGAAGGACACAGGACACATTTACGCCATGAAGATCCTGAGGAAAGCAGACATGCTGGAGAAAGAGCAGGTGACTCCTTGTTCTGCCGTTCTAAATGCAAGATTACACCCTGCTGTGTTCTCAAGTTTATGGTCGGCTCCCCCTGCAGGTGGCTCATATCCGCGCAGAGAGGGACATCCTGGTGGAGGCGGACAGCGCCTGGGTGGTCAAGATGTTCTACAGCTTCCAGGACAAGAGGAACCTCTACCTCATCATGGAGTTCCTGCCTGGAGGTGCTTACCCCCTCCTACACATCATCCGATGATGTTCGATAAGCGAGAAACATCTCCTGCCCTTCTGTTGCCAGGCGACATGATGACTCTGCTCATGAAGAAGGACACCCTGTCGGAAGAGGCCACACAGTTCTACATTGCAGAAACGGTCCTTGCCATTGACTCCATCCACCAGCTGGGCTTCATCCACAGAGACATCAAACCTGACAACCTGCTACTGGACTCCAGGGTCAGAACCACACGCATGACCCTCAAACGACTCCAGAGTCGTACGGTTCAAGGCTCGTAGTGTCACTGAATGTCCGTTTGCTTCCAGGGTCACGTGAAGTTGTCTGACTTTGGTTTGTGCACTGGACTGAAGAAGGCTCATCGCACGGAGTTTTACAGGAACCTGACGCACAACCCACCCAGTGATTTCTGTGAGCCACATATCAGTCATAAGTAGACTGAACCAAATATCAGTAAAAGCAGCAACATGTAATTGAGATTGTTCTATTTTGTTTTGTACAATGCTTCTCTTCTTTGTTCCTTGTTTTTTCCCCAGCTTTCCAGAACATGAACTCAAAGAGGAAAGCAGAAACCTGGAAGAAGAACAGGAGACAGCTGGTACGGATCCTTCTTAGACTGAAGCTGATGTGTAGTTTTGGTGTTTTCATGCACTCATCATGTGCAAATGTCAAATTTGATCAGTTCTTTTCCAGATGGAGTTAATTTAAAATCGCTGTCTTCCTAGCATGGACCCCACTTTCACATGTTGTCTATACATTTCAAACCAGATATTTACATACACTGAATAAAAAGACACAAACATGTTTTTCTCACTGTCTGAAGTTAGATCAAACTTTTCTTGTTTTAGTTTAGTTAGAATTACCAGGTTTTTTTCTATTTGCTAAATCCCTGAAAATATGGCGAGAACTGCTTTTTAGAATTTCTCTTTGTAACGTCATACATTTTTAAGACAGATAATACCAATGACACAGATAGTAAAAAACGTTTTAATTCAAGGAAAGTTACAAAAACATTTCTAAAATGTTTCTGGTTTCTGGCATTTAGCATATAAAAATTATCTTTGTAATTCCGACTAAGTTAAAACAAGAAAAGTTTGGTCTGTTCAATCGATACGATGAACTTAAAGGGAGTGAGTCGGACCGGTCTGTTCCCTGCTTTAGACGTGATTTTCATATCTTCCATTTAGAAAGCTGGGTTTTGAATGTTGCGGCTTACTTACAGGCTTATTCCACTGTGGGAACGCCGGACTATATCGCTCCTGAAGTGTTCATGCAGACAGGGTACAACAAGCTCTGTGATTGGTGGTCTCTGGGCGTCATCATGTATGAAATGCTCATCGGTAAGAACCGACTTCTTCTTGGTGTTGTGGGATTGATACACTTTACGTTTGAGCTCGCTCTACGACTAGGAGTTCAAACCTCTGTAGATGGTGCTGAGGCGTCACCATCGTTTCTTCTGTCTGTTGCGTGTTCGGGTCGTTGGCAGGTTACCCGCCTTTCTGCTCGGAGACGCCGCAGGAGACCTACAGGAAGGTCATGAACTGGAAGGAAACGCTCGTCTTCCCACCTGAAGTCCCCATCTCAGAGAAGGCCAAAGACTTGATTTTAAGGTTCAAACATTGACTTTTCTACATTCCAGTCTCACTGGAAGATCAGACCCCGAAACTGGATTTGCTGTCTTTTTTATCAGTTCTGTTTTCGCTTTTCACTTTTCATTTTCTGTTGGCTGTTACTGAAGGTATTGCACTGATGCGGAGAACAGAATCGGAGCTGTGAGTGTGGAGGAGATCAAGAGTCATCCATTCTTTGAGTCAGTGGACTGGGAACACATCAGGTACAAACAGACGTGCTTTTCTAAACGCTGACTCACTTTACTTTACTTTTATCAGAAGACAGAACACCTCTTGTCTCCGTCCACAGGGAGCGACCGGCAGCCATTTCTATCGAAATCAAAAGTATTGATGACACTTCAAACTTTGACGACTTCCCTGAATCAGACATCCTTCAGCCAGGTTTGTCATATCATATGTCTCATGTTGACCAGTTATGAGAGCCTATTTTTGTTGATATAGTAGTAAAACTCAGTTTTACAGCGGCTCCTCTCTTCACACATGCATGAGGTCACCTCTGTTGTAAATATTATTATTATTTAACTGAAAACAAAGTGAACTTAAAGGCACAGTGTGAAGAATCTGGTAACATCTGGTGGTGATGTTGCAGAATACAACCCTGACATCACTCCTACTTTCCAACATTGGATCTTTATCACTAGCCTACCTAAGTCCATTGAATAAATTTTCTGTGTGTTTTGAACAGCCAATGCAACAGAGCCTGACTTTAAATCAAAGGACTGGGTGTTCCTGAACTACACGTACAAACGGTTCGAGGGCCTGACTCAGCGAGGCACCATCCCCATGTACATGAAGGCAGGAAAGGCCTGACACGCTCAAGGGAAACAAACACAGAGACGTTTAATGGACACAGGGTCGGGCCGCCAGGCCCCCACCGGTTCCTGCAGGCCACGCCGGTGCCGCGCCGCGACGTCGGCCCCTCAGCCTAAACGTAACCATCATCAGAAGTTATATAGGTCCGCTCTGCCGCCAAGAAAACACCCCGCCGGAAGGAGCTGGGAAACGACGGAGCGTCGCCGCATTACCTCGGTTGTTTATATTTCACGTGTGCTGTCTCTAGCCATAGCTCTCGGGCCAGCTCTTTGACTAGGACACTAATTAAGCATATCTGCATGTCCAGCTTAAAAGTTGACGGCAGGAATGGGGCTTGAATACGAATCCCTGCTTGCTGCATCCTCAAGTTGATAGTTGATACACTGGCGGTTACATTAACACAGCTGCAAACTGAAGTCCGCTTAAAAGCTCTCAACACTGTAATCAAAATCTGGTTGACTGAAGAGAATCAGAACTACTGAAGCACACACGCTGCTGTGCTGCACGGAGAATTCCAGCACGATTTCCAGTGAGTTTTATAGTTCCGACCTGAAGCAAGTTCCGTTTTTCGATTTTGATATTGATGTTCGGTTTGTCGCCGCCTGCTGTTGCAGCGTAGGCGTTAAAGTGTTTTTAATCGGAATCTCACAATCGGTCTAGCCTGAAGACATCTGGAGTTGTCTATATCTTGTGAGTTTCACTTTTTTATCTTTTATTTGGGGTTTAATTGAGCGTCCTCTGTTTAAGTTATGTAACATCTGAGGATGGATATCAAAAAAGTAAGAGCATCACATTGGGGGTATAATATTTTAGGAATATTATACCCAAATCCTGCTGGAATCCTCCTTTATAAAGGTGGTACACTGGCGTACTGTAGGTTAGATGCTGTAACTCCCTGCAAAGCAACAAGACAAAACTCATAATTCTTCTGCTTAGCATCTGTCGGTGTGAAGCATTGCCAAATAGCTGTGTGTCCTTTTAAGATGTAAAACGGTCAACTTAATGAGTCGCAGGCTCAGCCTCTTGCTTCTTAAGTCAACAAAACATGCAAAAGTGCCTTTTTAAGTAGCTAGATGTATCACTGTAATTTAGGAAACATTAATTAGGAGGCATTCATTAAGATTAGATTAGCATTAAGCTGTTTGATTTTGAGAGAAAAGTAAACGGGCAGCTTGAATTATATGTATAACAAAAAGCAAATATATAAGCTGGTGTCTTTTCGGTGATTTATGAGGGTTGTGATAATACAAAGCCAGGTTTTTATGGACGAGACAATAAAGCCGGAGACTCTTTAAGCAGTAAAAATGGAGCTAAAGTAGGTCAAAAACAGCATGAGAGTGATATCTCTAGGTTTGGAGTTTTTAATTTTTCATTTTATGTCCATCGTAGGATGCTTTTCAATACTTTTTTTTTTTTTGATCCCTCTCACAAGCACGCAAACGAACAAAACACTCCCCCGTAAAGCCAGTCTTTAACCATGGAGTCTCAGAAGGGGAGACTACAGAGTTACCAAAGAACTCTAATCATTACGTGCCGTGGTTCGAATGTAGCCGTCGCTTATTCTGCACTTAACAGGAAACTACCTTTGAAAAGGAAGTCATTTCCATTTACTAAATCTAAACTTCTAAAGAAAAATGTGTGTGCGGGCAGTGACATTTCTTATAAGTCCGCTAAGAGTTCTAAGAGAAAATCTATAATCAGGAAGTGTACGGAAGATTCCCAGGAATCCCTATGCTAGCTGTTTCTGAAGGCCTCTGCTAGAAAAGTAGTTTTCAGCATTCTTATCATTTCTCTGTAATACCCCCGTGTTAATTCTTTTCTTACATTTTCTATGTAAGTAATTTATTTGTCGAGCTACAAATGCCTTGGCCGACTACACTCGAAAATGCTACAAAACGTTGGATTGATGAGGGTTTTAAAGGCAGATATCTGTATATTTTTGTGTTATTTATGCTGCTCGTGTTTTTTTTTAAATGTATAAATTGGCTTTTTCCTTTTACAGACATTCACTGTATTTTAATTGGCTGCGTTTTATGTGAAATCGCACCCACTGATGTAAACAACAAACAGAAAGAAAGTTCAGAATCCTATGAACGTCCACGGACATCTCTTATGGGTAATAAGGTTTGCGAGCCCTTTTTTTTTAAGTAGGCCACAAAAAAATGCCGTAAATTGGTATGTAGATGATGTCATTGGTAAGAAGCAGTGGATTCAGGAGGAGAGAGAGCGAGTTTTACCAGGCAGTTGATGGAGGACCCAACAATCTGGAACAGTGGAGGAAGGTCACCAGACACAATGAGTGCTTTGTGTAGGCAATTGATGACATTGGAGGTTGCATTGGGTGTTTGCTTCGAACCAGGTGCAAGTTCCCAGCAGTATCACACAGTCAAACAATCTCAAATTAGAAAATTCAAACCTCTTGGTCAGTATCCTGGTAAAGTTTCCCACGGAGGTGTCTAAATCAGAAACAAAAACTGCTTCCAGAAAACTCTGGAAAAATAGTGACGTGAATTGAAGACTGACTAGGAAAGGGAAATTTGTTCATGAAGTGGATGATCTCCTTTTGTGTTGTGAGGTGATGTGTCTCACTGTTTAGTGTCAAATGTCTGTTTTGTGCTAGGATTGACAGTGTTTGTTTTGTTTATCATGAAGAAGAAAAACGGAGGGTGAATAGTTGCGATACGTGCTATATCTCACTTTATACAGCCACACTTGACTTGAAATCCATTACGGTGTCACTTTAACTAAAAGGATTCTTCAACGAGGTAGTAAAAGGTTCAGGAAAATGTTTCTTTTTTATCAAGCAAGACAATTCATTTGCGGTGGACCAAACCAGTTTACTGCCGAGTAACAAACAGTCTTCGGCAGATTATTAAAGGGTAATGCTGCATGTTTCGTTTTTGTCAAGAGACAATGAACGCAACTATATCGTATGGTAAAATCAACATAAAAGCCGAAAAGGTGAATGATCCGTATTCCCCTCCCTGTTTGAAGGAAGACCCCCCGGTTCCACGGCTCAGAACTGAGTTATGATGTGTACATACTGCAGTAGACACTTGGAAGGCTACCGTCTGTGGAGGAGAGAAGGGGATGCTCATTAATATATTCATTCATGTTGCTGAGTTTTTTTTTTTATGTTGATACACTGTTCAGAAATAATAAAATAAAAAATAATTAAACACTTGAAGTTTTCAATGTCTTTACTGTTCTGGGAAATTACTTTTTTTTTGTTTGGCACAGGCCATGTAACAAACACCACTGTCCAAATTGATACAGCTGTTAGTCTTTTCCTTCTTCATCTCAACTGTTAAAACAAACTCACTCTAGTCAACAGGGATCAACAACGTGATGTGGTTTAACTTAGTCTTGTCTAACTCTTTACTTTCTCCTAGTTGAGCCACTAGGGGGAGCTCTTGGCGAGCTTTTATTTCATTTTCTGTTTGTGAAGACCTTCTGAAAGAATGAATGGATAAGAACAACTTAATCCAGGCATGGTAGAGATTCAATTACAAAATCAAAGTAAAATCAAGCATTTATAATCGTTAATCAATGCAACTTATTTTATAAATAATGGTATTTTCAAGTCAGTAGTATTAAAAAATATTTTCCCAGACAGATTTCTTGTTCTTTAAAAGACACCGTGTCCCAAGTTACCGTATGTAGTAAACCGGCAGCTATGAGAAAACACAGCAAACCTCCATGTGAGTCTTCAATATGTTATGTCAAGAATTGGCCAAGAATTCACGCTGTCCCATCCCACCCTGCAAATCTAGTTAACCGGGTTTCTCTTAATCCCTTACCCCCATTAAGGAAACTGGGTTTCTGGTTTGGACCACGAAATCAGGTTACAACAGAAAGCCAACAGCAAGTGGGTTATTTGCGCACTCAAAAACTCACCTCAAGGAAGAAGTGATAGGGCCGTCATGCAACAACCCTGTTGTTATGACCCTGTTGTCATGTGGTATCCAATTTTCAGTTTAGCTGCGGAGAAAATTAAACGCATGAAGATGGAAGTAACCTTTAAGGAACACTGAACACTGATAAAAGGTCTTCTGAAGGTCATTTTGTGGAAGTAAAAGTTGACTCACAGAACCTTTAGAGAACAATCCCTGGAGGTTCGCAAGGGCCATACTGTGGATATCAGAGGTAATCTCCAGGAAGTATTCAAAAAAAGTTCCTTGAGGGTTCTTTGAATGCCACCCAGTGAAAATTATGAAAGTTGACAACATACTTCATACTTCATAGGACCTTTACAGAGTTTTCCCTGAAGGTTTCCAGGTTTTAATACTATGATTGTTACCTTCTGGAACCTTCAGGCAAATATCCCCCCAAAATTCCTAAAGAGTAACACTGAATGTTTAAAGCAGGACTTCAAGGAACCTTCAGAGAACATTCTTTTAATGTTCAAGGAAAGCTTTGAGGAACTTTCCTCCATGCTTCTGTTAAGAGAACAAAATCATCAACTTCTGGCTCGTTATATTCTCTTGTGCTCCAGAACTCAATGATTCCATGCGTGGAAACAAAAGCCACACAGAGATGACAATCAACGCTCCACATCATACATTTTCAGAGTTTATTCTAACATTTAAAAGTATAAAATCACATTGACAACACAGACGCTTCAAACACACTAAAACAGACATTCATTTACCTGAGACAAATGGAAAATAAGAAAGAAAGAAATGCAAAGACGTCTGGAGATTTGCAAAAGCAAATCTGATTTGTTACTCCTGTGTACAAACTTTTATAGTAAAGGCGTATTCTTGTCTTTAATATATTCAAATAAGGCGTATCTGCTTGTTCAACTGGAAGCTGTCTCAAACTTTCTTTCAAGTTGTATCCTCCTTCGACACCTGTTAAATTCTGAGAGAGCAACTGTCCCTTTCTAAACAACCAAGAACAGAGTTCCTCATTAACTGTCCTGACCTCCTGTTGATTTATGACTTTCTGAGCAGAGAAAAACAGATAGGTATTTCACAGATAAGTGTGAAATCTGGAATCTTTCCCGTCTTCTCCCTACTCAGATACCTCAAAGAAAAACTTAAAATCCTGTAGGAAGTTGAAGCAAATGTTATCTCCACAGACCTCATTTGTTTTCCTGTCATTCAGCACTTCAAAAGATTGACTCTTGCTGTAAACCAGAAGTAACACAAAAGTCAGCGGGGCAGAATGAGGTGAAATTCCTTTTTCTAACCTATTAAATGAAAGAATCAATCCTGAGTATAAGAATTAACACGACAATCTTCCAAGAACCTTTCACCGTATACCTGAGCAATTTTCCAATACTAAACAAAACATTTTCTTTCATACATTTTCTATTTGATTCTGATAAACTAACAGATATTACAATTTCAGAATGAATTAGTCACTAAAATGATTAATTCTAAAACTATGATTGGACTATTTTCAATCAGAGCATGCTGTTAATAACTAAGAAAAATGTCATACAAATTAGATGATAGTGGTTTTAGATATTCTGTATTGTATTCAGTATTTTCACCAATCTTCACACCATCCCAGATGCTAGTTTGGAAGACTTTTGATGATCTTTGGTGAACAGAGCAAACTTCTCTCTCCCATGCTCATCCAAGTGATACTGCTTTCCTGCAGATGCTAATTTTATGGCCTCCTGTCCTTCTCTGATAACACAATATGCCTCACTCAGACCTCCCATTTGATCTCTATCTATCTTTCCTTCCTGTAAGTTGAAAACTTACCCATCAATAGTTTTAGATGAAATCATTAACACAAACCTGTTCTAAATTAAGAATTTTGTTCAAAATAACCATGCTCAATATACCTTTTTTCACATGTCGTAAGATTAACTGTATTAAACACTAAAAATATTCATTTTTCCTCAACACTTCCCAAATAGTCACATCATGGAGTAGTTAATCTTCAGGGAACATTTAGTAAATGTTCTTTGAAGGTCATAATATAAAAAGTACGACATTTGATGTCGGCTCTCACGGAACCTCAAGAGACAGTAAGGGAGCATTTTGTGAAGGTTCTCAAAGTGTCACATTGTGAATATCGCCAATAACCTCCAATTAAAATTTCTTGAAGTCAGTAAAAAGGTTACACTCTGAATTTTAAAGCTAATCTTCTGTGAAACTCTAGGTAATGTACCCAAAGGACCCTGTTGTAAATGTGGAACTTAATCTTTAAAGAGTCTTAGGTATCCCCTGTGGAGATTATGTGTGGTGTGAAAATTCACATTTCCCACTCCAGGTATCTTTGGAGAGTGTTCCCTAAAGGTCCCCAGGCTGCAGGAACTTTTGGGGGAATATTCTGTGAAGATTTAGAAAGGGTCCAACTGTAAATATTGAAGCTAACCTTCAGTAAAGTTTCATGGAATGTTTCTCAGAAGTTCCTGAAATATCACATCTTGGATTTTGCACTGTGAAAGTTGAAGGTATCAGGGAACCTTTAGGGAGCATCATTCTATCAGTGTTGCAGCTGCCTTCTGGAAACCTTTAGGAATGTTCCCTGAAGGTGCCCAGAAAGTCATACACTGTTGAAGCTAATCTTCTTGGGGCATCTAGGAAATGTCCTCTAAATGTCCCTGTAAATGTTGAAGCTAATTGTCAAAGAACTTTACCTAAAGACTGCAATGAAATCAAGCAATGAATATTGCAATTAACATACTTTCTGATTTAGGAATTTTCCCTGAAGGTTATTTTTGAAACTTTTGAACATTCCCTGGAGGCTTGTAGAGGGAAACATCATGAATGTTGCTTAACTTACATTCAAGTTACTTTAGAGAGAAGATTCCTGAAAGATTCCGCAAAGGTCACACTGTAGTTGCTGAATGTAACCTTCAGGGAACCTCCCCTGTGTTCAAAAGAGTTTCAAACACAGTAAATCACAGAAAATTCCGCTAAGGTTCTTCATGTAAGGAACTTTTCAAAAACAACAGCTGACTGTTCCTGGCCAATGATCAATGTGAAGAACATTGTAGAGCTTGTAAGTTATCATTGTCTCCCAGTCGTTGGCTGCTGTTTTCCCTAATATTTAAACACGGACTGTCAAATTTCTTCACATTTACTTCATCAGTTATTAAATAACCACATTGAAATATTTGCTGGGCAACATTCCTCTGTCATGAGGAAAGTTAAAGAACATTTCACTCCTTAATCATAAATCATTATGTTAATGTTGATGATTTCAATACGAAGGTAGATTAGTTATAAGTTAAATATTTATTATATATGTCAGCCTATAAGAAATACTGGTATTGACTCCTAGCATTGCTACTCTGAAACATCAGAAAATGTTTGTAAAGTCTCTGTTTCGGTATCACCTGACCACGCTGATGTTCTGATGGGCAGCTGAAGTGCGTGCGTGGAATCGCCGAACTTTCTCCACGGACTCTTTATAAATGGGTTAATGAGCCTCCAGCCGCCACGTGACCCTCGAGTTATATAATATATAGGTCAGCACGTTTCTCGCTGGCACGTGCAGCCTTCTGTCTTACGTAAAGTCTCGTGCAAAGGTCTCGAATAACACTATGTAGGTGAGCGCCGAAGATCGTCGATACTAGTGATGACCTATCACTCCTCATATATATTCCTGATCCTTTGTCCTACAAAACTCCTCAAAGTAAATGTTTTCACTAAACCACACAATAGTCTACTTCTGTTTCCCACCACCGCCCCCCCTAATTATTCTTCATATTTTAGAATTTGCTATATAAAATCAGCTTACCATTTGTTTTAGAATTTGTTCAAAAGAAATCATCTAAATGCTCCAGCAAAAAGTCCTTAAGTTTATCAGGCTTACTATAAAACACTAAATAAATCAATTTACAAAGTACTCATATTCAATGCCACCCCTGCAGAACCTTCCAAATGTTCCTTGTGGCTCAAAGGTTGTTTTATTGCTTCCAGACCACAGCAGGGTTTAAATCAGACCAAGCTCTTCTATTTAATCTTTGTTATTTGCTGCCATGCACGTTGTTTTATGTACTTCCCCATTTACAGACCTAAAAACTCCATATTAAAACTTTTTAACACGTTTGACTCCTGTGTAACTGTGTTTGTGGATTTGCTAAAGGACACAAACAGATGAAAAAAAATTCTGAGAAAAAAAAAAGCCAATTTTTTTCAGTGCCCTTAATCCTCTTCCGTAGTCAATTGTTCCAAAGTATCCGAACTTGTAATTGTGAAACAAATTCTTTCTGTCATTACACTGGCATTTAGTAAAATAAATATTTTAACAATCTTAAATGACCAGGGATAGGAATGGTTTAGTTTGACAAAAACAAAAGAACAAACAAACAAACAAACAAAAAAAACATGATTTATAATATATAATTTTTTTTGAATGAAAATTGATTTGAAAAAAGAAACAGAGTGAGACCTCACTTCTCTCGTTGCTGGGAAAGGAAGGAAGCGAGAAAGCTTGCAGCGGCGTCAGATGGGTGACGCGCTCGGGGCTCTTATTGAGGTCACCGAAACGTGTACTACACGGGGAGGGGAAGAGGAAATCTTCCCTCTGCGCTGTCGTAAGTGACCTGGCTCTATTCGGCATGAATCAAAAATGAATTTATCAGCACTGCCGGACGCTCACTGCACGCTTCCTGTCAGGCCATTTAATTGCCCTTCAAATGGATTACCTGTCACACGAAACTGCAGTCAGAGTTGTATTTTGTTCAGCTTAATCATAGAATAATAACTACTGGCAGAAACTTTGTCGTTTTTCTGTGACTGGCTCTATTAAATTACATTTGAAAAAATATATATATCCTCAGAACGTTGCAGCTTTTTCGAATGTGGACCTGAATAAACCATATAGGTAGCTAATGGAGGACAAGACCAGCGTGAACTCTCTCCTCCTTTCCCCGTCCGCTATTGAAAATGGGTGTTCCTCTCTCACACATCCCTCACGTTTCTACCCCCACCCCACTCCACTCCTCTCCGCTCCACTCACATCGTTCTGTGTAAAAAAAAAAAAAAAAAGGAACTACGCGAGGAGGAGGAGAAGGAGGAGGAGAAGGGTGATGGAGGTGGGGGGTGGGGGGTTTGAAAAAAAATGAAGTCAATTATACAACACCCCGGCTATCTGAAGCTCCCTCCTTCCCACCATCTCTTTTATGCATTACACCACAACAGCTGGTGTCTCAACATGCGCGGCGGCTCTCCGTAGCCTTCACCCGGAGCACCGGTTCCAGTCCGCAGGCATGTCAACCGGGGGCTCCGACAGCACGGCGGACAAACCGGCAGGTTAGCCCTTATGCTCTGGTTGTCAGTACTTTACTTTGAGTTGATGCTACAGTTTTATGTATTTATTTTTGTTGAACTGCTTCACCTTCTTTCCAATTTCTAACGATAAACATATTTAAATTGAGATGCATAATATTTAAAAGGTCTGTTTTGACTCTTTTATTGTTTAGAGTAATTCAGCTACTTGTCAGTGAGGTTTAGTGTCCCTCTTAATGTCAGGGTTTAGCCACAGTAGCTTTCCGTATCAAACTAACACTGCTGAACTATATTGTTGAGTTATCTCGTCGCGCGCTCCACGCACTTTGTTTCATTCAATGTCCGACCAACGGCAAGCACGCGCATGAAGCGCCTTTGTTGGCTCTTCACCAGGCAACGCTCCGGCAACAACCACGTCAACACCGCTATGACGAAATATATAGCACCTCCCAAGTTTTACAATTTAAATCATTGTTATATATCTGTCTTTATCCTCGAAGCTGGCGGTGAGCCTTTCTTCATGTTTGACCCGACCGTCACCAAGAACTGCCCCAACAAGAGCTTAGCTTCTCTGCGTCACGTGTTTCCACGAGATACTGTTTCTCTTTCAGGCTTCCTCCCGAAAGTGGGTCAGTAGATCAGTAGAGCAGCGCTGCCTTCACCATGCAGCAGGGGGAGGCAGCTTGGTTCCTGCGGTGGCCGAGAGCCGCTGAATCAGCTCAGGGAAGAGTGCAGGAATGTGAAGCATGAAAAGACTGAAGAAAGTCCCACAATATTTCCAGGCATAGGAATGTCCCTTGAAAATGGGTTTTGATAAATTTATACGTGACGTTCTGACAACGCAAAACTCAATTCGGTATAAGTCATATCAAAACTCAACAGCAGTGTTTAAATGAAGCCTGGCATTAAAATACATGGACTTTTCCTCAATAAATGAAATGTTCTTGTAAATGAACAGTTCCAAAAATTAAGTTTGGTTGAGTTTTGTTTATTTCAGGCATACTATAAATAAATAGTTGTAAGTTGAAAACATTCTGCCTACCCTACATTTATGACAGAACAATTCAAATGTCTGCAAATTAAGATTTAAATAGACAAAAATAATTAAATAAGCTGAACTCCTTGTCTGTCGTGGACAAAAAAAAAGCCTGTATGGTTGTTTTTTTCATGTGCATATGGGCTGTTGTCTTTAACACGGTTTTCTTGGGATTGATCCCATTTGCTCCATGTTTTCCATTTCTCTCTCCTTCCTGTGTCTTGTCCAATTGCTATGTAAAGCAGTGTTTTTAGGCAACTAGTGCCTAAAAACACTGTGCTTATTTTTTATATTTTACTTAAGTATACTTAACATTTTCAGGCGCATTTCCCCTACATATCCTTGTTCAAGCACTGAAACTTCACCCGCAATTAAACTGTGAATATATACAGCGGATTGCCAAAGTTATAATTTGGTTGTATCCTGTGCATAAATTAGGTTCACTGGTGTTAGTTTCCGTAATAGTTTTGCATGTCGTGCAAAAGCAGCTCCCGGCATCACAGATATCAAATCATGACCTCAAACTGGGCTGGAGAATAATGAGTCATCCGAGTCTCGCAGCATGTTTACAATGACCTTAAAACAGACCTGGCTCTGGAATTGCTGCCTCAGTTCCTGGACGCATAGATAGCAGCTCTAAGAATAACTCAAACTCTTCCTGATGTTTCACCAGAACATTGTTTTTCTTAACAGAAGTGAGTGTAAAAGTCAGCTAAATCTCAGTCTTGATCCATATTTTTTGTTGTTTTCAAAAAAATAACTTTAAACTTGTTGAATTTGTAGAAGCTATTATTCTTAAATGCAGCCGTCCAGGGTTTGATTCCTAATTTTGGGGCATTTGATGTATTTTTATCTCTTTTTGCCTATTTTCTGTGTGAATAGAGCAAATGAATGTCTTTTGGACTGAAAAATTTTTCATTTTACATGGAATCCTTGAACCTTAATATTATCAAACGTTTGTCAATTTATTATTCAGGAATAATAAAGATTAGACAGATTTGGCATTAGGAAATGGTGATAATTTCAAATTAGAACGTGTGTTTTATTTATAGCAAAATGCCAAAAAATACCCAACAATTTCTTAAGCCTTAACAACAACTTGACAAGAACTCAAACAAATTGTTAAACAGAAAAAACTTAATTACTAGGAAACAAAGCAGACTCAACTACTGGCTGATCAAACTGGTTTGAGCTGCAAGCTAAGTGCCAAATATCTAAAGGTTATCTAAACGCAGAGAGCCTATTAGTTTATTGTTTATCTTAAATTACTAATAATCAAACATCAGGTTAAATATGTCAGCAACGCATAAATGAAAGAAAGCATTCAACATCTACACTACCTCCATGATAGAATGCTGCTTATTGTTTCATGCTTAGCACTTCCTGTGTACAATGCCTCACAGAATTCTTCAACCAAGAGAACCTTCCACATGTCACGTGGACTTAAATGTGTGTTTTTTTTTTTTTAACGAAGAAGACTTTTAAGATTTTAATATGCAATGTGAAAAAGTTCACGGACTATGAATACATTTACGACCAAATAATTGAGGGGAAAAAATGAGGTCATATGTAGAAAGCATCCAATGTGTTTTTTTTCTCCATCCCTCAAATTAAAGGGCTGATTTTTTACAAATTTTTAGTGTGTGATTATACTGTAATAAAGTAAGTGTAACCCTTTTTAACTGTGCTTATATTGACATTTTCTCATGCACATTTGAAGCATCGTGTTGCAGGTTGAAACACATTTGCTGAATAAGTTCTGATGCCTTATTTACACACACATGCTATGGAACAGCCCAAGCCTGCACAGCTTGAGGTTTAAAACAGCCACACGTAGCGTCAAAATAACGCTTTATGTAGCTTGGTTGATTTCTCTCCAAACTACTATAAGGAAACATGCCTGATTCACATTTTCTTTTTTTGCAACATGTTAAAATTTCAGTCAAAATTGGCATGACAATTGAATGGACTCATAGCTGCTGGCCCATTATATGAGTTTGATGTAAAGTATTAATTAAGAACAAATGATAAATTCACCTGAAGTTAACATTTTTTTAATTTCTTAGAATGGAGGAATCACATAATGTTCTGGTGTAAATAGTGTCCTTTAGACCTGAAACAGTTTTTGTCCTCTTCTTGCTTACTTTATTCATTTCCAAGCACTTTCTGTAAAGATCATGATCACTTTGTGGACAGAAAATGGGAAAACAAGCATTCAAAATCCAAAAAAATGCCTGACTACAAAGTACTACAATATTAAGCTACCATTTTCTGTATTTCTGCTGTAGCTTGGCTGTGTGCTTGAAGCTATAGCTGTTATAATTTTACAGCTTCAAGAAAACTAATTTTTATGAGTTTTTCTGAAGAATAATATCCTGACCTAAACTGGAGACTATTTCTACCCATGACTGGGTCTCTTTATCTGCAGGAACCTTATGCAAGTTTGTTTGTGAATTAGCATAAATAAGTGAATTAAAGACATGTGCAGGCAGTTGTCAAGCAGCTTAGACAATTTTCCAAGGTCTTTTGATTCTAAAGTGAGTTGCTGCATTGTGTTAAAAAGGGATTTTTTCCTCCTCTGTGCATCATTTAAACCCAAATCAGGTCGTTTATTGTCCACCAACAAATTCTCTCAAGGTGTTCAAGTGGAATTAAACCGAAAATCGTGCTTCCGCCTCATCCCGTCGCTCCCCTCCTGTATGTTGTCACCATGGCGCCCTGCAGGCCTGGCCTCTCCACAGTGCTCCTGTCACCGCTGGAGTGACTCAGTGTTGCCCATATATGTTCGTTCAAAGCACGAAACCTTCAACAGAGCCTTAGCTGAATGACATAAAGGTGGTAAAACCACCTGATGAAGGACGCAGTGTGCCGTGCTGGATTAGCTGCAGAGATTCATGTTGGGTGGAGGAGAGAGCTGGTGTTTCCACTAGTGCATCAGTGACCCACTAAACGGCACCGGAAAGATTAAAGAAAATATGTCAGTGAAATTCAGTTTTTTTCCCTGCTGCTGGTTTAAATCTTCCTGTGTACTCCCAGGTGTCATTTGAGCCAGAGAGGGGTCACTATGACATCTCAAAGTAATTTATTTTATGTTTAGTTTATAATTAATCCATTTTTATTCAGATTGCCGCTCTGAAGCAATTGCTTAGCCCTCCCATGCTCTTAAGAGACAGGGTCAATTGAACTCCGCAAGCTGTTTACCGTGTGTGATGTCTGTCGGGTTGCACTGACCTCATGTTCGCTTTTACGAGGTTCTGTGTGTGTGTGTGTGTGTGTGTGTGTGTGTGTGTGTGTGTGTGTGTGTGTGTGGGCATGTGCGTGTGTGTGTGTGTGCGCGTGCATTTGTTTGTAATACCTTGTGGGGACGATTTTTCTGACACATACTATGTTGTGGGGACCTATTTTGTGGGGACACTTGTGGGGACCGAAACCTGGTCCCCACAAGGGGAAACCCTGGCTTTGGGTCAGGGGTCAGAGTTAGGTCTAAGGTGTGAATTGAGTTTTGGTTAGGGTTAGGAAAGGGTAAAGGTAAGGCTTAGGTTGTAGAAATGAATGGAAGTCAATGGAAAGTCCCCACAAAGATAGCCACGCAAACATGTGTCTGTGTGTGTATGCGTGTAGTTGTTACTGCAAAATCTGTCCTGAAAGCACGATCTGTACCATGAGCTAATTTGCACTCGTGTGAAAAGAAATATTTCCAGGAAGGGTATGTTTTTATTGCTTTTTCCTTTTTGTGTGACAATGTAATCAGAAAAATAGAATATGATTAAAGGGGAATAACAAGAAATAAAGAAAGTCGACTTAACTGTAAGACTGCTTCTGAAAAAAAAAATCAAGTACATTTACATACAACAACCCTAACCCTAAGGAAAGATAGGTTAATGAAGTAGTTTTTCATGAGCACATGGTATATAGTATCGGTCCAATAACACTTTTAGTTATTTTCATTAAACGTGATTATTATAAAAATAAAGGTGTTTTTTTTTGTCTGTGATGAGTCCACCAGAGGTCGCTTTGATGGTAGCTACTAGCTAACAGTCCAGTGGGTCCAATCTTATGCTTATAATCTTTGAACTAAATTATGACAATTATTATTCATGTTAACATGATTTGATTAATTTAGAGAATATCAACATTGTCTGGGAAAAAGGTTCTCTTATAACAAATTTTAAGGCAATTTTAATTTATATAAATAAATATGTTATACTTTGTTGACGTACATTTTAAGAATGACCTGAAATTATTTCTTAAGCGCAAATGAGTCGACCGTACGATCTTGTTTCCAGAACACATTGTTTTGGGAACTGACAGTCTGCCAGGACACTCTGCTTCCTCGCTGGAGGATTAAACTCAAAAAGAAGGCAATCTTCTTAAATCACCTAATAAATTACAATTAACCATGAAAAATCCAGTCAATAATTCAACCGAGGTACTATGTTGGTCAGTCGCAGTCAGCTATCTCACTATAAAGTGTTCCTCACGTGCAGGTTTGATTTTTTGTAAACGGATGTCACAATTTAAAGAGTCCACCCGAGAGTTGTAAGTAGGTCAGCGTTCCAGCGGTGATATAAGGATTAGGCAAGACACAGAACAAACCTTATTTACGCACACGTGCCATTTAACAGCCCAAACCTGCACAGCTCGAGGTTTTGAATGGCAGCGTTCAGTCGGCGCATCACAGTTCACCTGGAAACAGATGCCTCCAGAGCAAGACTGAGGCAAAGCAGATAAGTTTGAGTGTTTGAGAAAGTAACGTGGCTGGAAGCTGAAGGATAAAAGAGTGAGGGGAAATGGCAGGATTCTTGAGAAGTTAGTGTTTTTTAAGTGAAATACATCTGGAGGGAGATGGGTAATAAACATGAGCGGGTTTTCGAAGACAATTTACCCTAAATTTTCAAAAGTAGTGAGTCACTCAATCATTTCCATGGCTACAGATGTATTATTTACAGCCCTCGGGCTCGATCTGCTTCTACACGAGTTTATGACAGAACGGGACGCTCTCAAGCATCGCAATTTCACAACTGGACTGTGCAGTGAGTCCAGTTGGAGAGCTTGGACAGCTTGTTGGTATAGGTGTCTATGGCCAAAAGTTGCATCCAAGCTTTACGTCATCAAATTCAAAGTATTGGATTTAGTAATGCAAAGCACACCACCAGAGGATTCTAGAGCAGTTCTCTGGAGTGGTTAATCATCTTTCTCTGTTTGGCACTCCATTGGGCAAGTCTGGATTTGGCAGTTGCCAGGAGAACGGCACTTGCCTGACTACAATGTGTTAAGTTGTTTATTTAATTGAAGAGATTAGTAACTGCAGGGTGCTGTTGCTTGAAGAGAGTAACACTACTGCTTCCTCTGAACGACGAGACTCAGAAGTTCTCAAACCAGAACATCTCCTCTCCACACTTGGACCTGGACGTCCTGTCTGTCAACACCAGTAACACGACCAGTTTCAGGGTCAGCCCTGGTGGAGAACAACATGCCGAAGGAACAAATTTGACTCTGTACCCTGAACAAGCATACAGTTTTTGCTTTCGGAAACTAGAGACCAGACATCCTCTAGAAGTGATATGTGCATCTCATCTCAATTTACTCAACAATGCCCACAGCATGTCTTTAGGGACACTGTCATAAGCCGCTACAAACCTGTGAACTGGAAAATCAAACTGAACAGTTGGTCTTAACTAACTTTCAAGCACCCTGGAATAAACCTCAATAGGAACCACAGCAGGCAAAAAACTGTACCTCATTTTTTTCTGCTTTATGTTTTTCTTGACATCCAAGAGTCAGCTGGCATGAGAGACCGCTATGGTTAGTAGGACACAACAATGTTTAAATATGTGATACCGGAAAAGTTTTTTCCCAATGAATGTCAAACACAAGGTCTTCCATCAGACTATTACCCAAAGTTCCCAACTGTCTCTATTTGCGTTTTGCATCCTGCTGTTACCCTGATACCATGTCACAGCCTGGGCCCTTTTTGGGCTCCAGACTGCAGTGTTCACTTGCAGCTACATCCGTGTCCTGCTTGTCCTCACATATTAGATCGAGCTGCAGAAGAGGAGGAGAGGCCAATCCAAGCAGGATCCACGATGCCATCTGTCGAGCTGCCAAGGAAACGGAAAGGGGAGGTGGAGGAGAGGTCAGACACCCGTGTACAGTAAGAGCGGGTGTTGTCTATGGCAATAAACAACCTTGGTGTCATTTTACTCCTATGTAGTATCATAAACGTGACACTGTCCAATGGACAAATTGTCTCTGTGGAGTATTAAATGACTCACATTGTCTCTGATCTCACAGGCAAAGCCTCAACTTCAACTTAGAGGATGACCTCAGCAGGTACACACAGCCTTCAGGTTATATATGTTGATTATGGATGATACATCAAGTTTGATTTTGATCATTTCATTTGTAGATCTGAGGGAGAGGATCAGCAAGTCAAAATGAAATGCTTCAGGTAAATCTCTATTCATGTGGATCATCTGAGTAGTTAAGGAACCTTTGACGTCAATGGCTCTTCAATGAGCTTAATCGGTTCTTCACTGAATTTATCACTTTATTTTACAATCATCAAAATTTAGATAGTAATGATGGAAATATGTACCTACAGGGAGCCTCACCGACAGATTGAAAAACGACGGAGGGACAAAATGAACAACCTCATTGACGAGCTTTCCGCCATGATTCCTGCGTGTCAGCCCATGGCAAGAAAACTTGACAAGCTAACTGTTCTTCGGAAAGCTGTACAACACCTGAAAGCCCTCAAAGGTACTTCATAACAGTTCGCACTGCTGTTTAAAATGTGGGTAAAGATGGTCTAATAGTGGATTCTCTTTGGTTTCAGCTGGGGCGAGCGGTGCCTTTGCCGATGCCAAGCACAAGCCTTCCATCCTGCCTCAGGATGACCTTCGGCACCTTCTGCTCAAGGTAAAATTCTAAAAGCTAAATAGATTGATTTGATTATTGGAAAGTCTTGGTGCAATTTACAAGGACAGCACATGAAGCCACCCACTTCTTATCAGCTCTTAAAACTAGGTAACTAGATAACGTGAGATCAGCTTCCCCTTGAATGACTCCACTTAAGCAATGGGACAGATGGCCTTACACTTTCTTTTGGAATATTTTTGAAAACTGCTTAGTTCATTTTTGACTAACAGCCTATAAACTACTTTAGTTTAAACAAACACACATCACCAACCCTCCACCACTGTGTTTGATAGTTGTCATTAGGAGTTTGTGTTTGTTATGTCCAGATATCTGCACTTTGGTTTTCTCTGTCCAAGTTACATTGCTCCATTACAACTATCAATTTTTCATCAGAAATTTTAAAGCCAAAATTTGTTCTGTTCCTTTCAGAGTTGATGTTTGATGTTTTCTCCTGGCAAGTTTATTAAAACATTCAGTTTAACTATACTTAGCTTCAAAACAGCATCTTGGGATGCATTCACAGAAACCCTGTTTTGCCAAACTTTAGTTCGTTTGCCTAGAAAGTTAGCTTTGTTTGGGGAGGTTTGAATGTTTACACAATCTTTGATGTGGAGAAGCAAACTCTTGTCTAGGTTCAATAGAAGTGAACTCTGGTGCGTTTCGAGAGCATGTGTGAATGAAAAGTGGACCGGAGAGCGATCCAAAGCCAGAGAGCAGCCTAAAGAGCAGGGCATTCTGGGTATATGCAACCAAAACAAACTCTTGAGTCTAACACTAGATGGAAAAATAGCTTGCTGTGTTTTGTCAAAGACAAATCCAACAACAGCTAAAATCTGACACCACTTCATTTTTATTTGCATTTTGGAATGAAGGAAGTTACTCTTGGTGTCTTCTTCAGAAGTTTTTGTGTTGCTTTTTTCTGTTTTTATTGATGCAGCGCCACCGCAGGTGAGGTTGTAAACATGTTTTTCAATGGGCTTGGTTTGTTTGTCACAGTGCAGTGTGAAAGTGAACCGCAGCAGCTGAAAATGTAACAAATGTTGCAATTTTGGTCTTCAGTTGAACAGCCAAGACATGAGTTGTTGCTTTTTCAGTCATGTATTGCATATTCCTAAACCCTCGCCATAACCAGATTATTTTCAATGGCGGTGCAGCAACATTGTACCTCACTCCATAAGTTCTCCCCGCTTGCATCATACCCCTTCCATTGTCTTACAACATTGGCAGTTTCCCCCTTTGAACTTTAAAAGCTTGATACATCTGTTCTCACACTCCTCAGAACAGGAAGCCCATATGTTATAGCTTGGATTTACTAAAGCCAGTCTTCCCAGTCTGGGATTATGGCTTTGGTCACATGCCTCAACTGTAGCCTACACTTTCCCACAACATGTCCACTTCCTCTTTTTTTTTTTTTTTTTTTACCAGCTTTTTATTTCTCAATGTTCTTGGTGTCTTCATGTCAAGGCAGCAGATGGCTTCCTGTTAGTCGTAAGGTGCGATCGGGCGAAGATCCTGTTCATCTCAGAGTCTGTCTCCAAGATTCTTAACTTCAGCAAGGTCTGTACTGCACAGTTTGTTGTCAGTATTTATGCTTGATTTTTTAAAAAACAAACTAAAAAAAAACTAGAATTTTGATAAAGTCTTGACACAAATGAGAATTTACACTGAGCCCATGAAAATGCAGTGATCAGCTGTACCATGCAAAAATATTTATAGCATAAGAAGTTTTTCTTGTTTTGGCATTAATTTATGTTGTTCTATCCCACAAATTCCCAATAAAATATATTGAAGTTTGTAGTTATAGCGTGAAAAATTTGAAAATTCAAAGAGTATGCAAACTTTTACAATCTGTTTCAAACCCTGAATAATCTTTGATTTGGAGTTAGACTCACTCAACCACTAAAACAAAGCCTAAACTCTGTCGTACTTTAAATTGAATATGTACTGATTAAATGCTGAATTACTCGCACCATAAGTTTTACAAAATGAAGTCAGTAATATCATCAATACATGCGTTTCTCTTCCAGTTGGAGCTGACCGGCCAGAGTTTGTTCGATTTCATCCACCCCAAAGACATCCACAAGGTGAAGGAACAGCTCTCGTCCTCAGAGATGCTCCCCCAGCAGTGCCTCGTCGACGCCTCCAGTAAGACTGCAGGCGAAACCGAACTAGAGCAAACCAGACGGGAATCAGGTGCTTTGTGTCAGAACTTGTGGTTTTCTCTGTGCAGCGGGGGTTCAGGTCCAGGCCGAAGCCCCGGCCAGGCCGTCCCACTTGACCACCGGAGCCAGGCGATCCTTCTTCTGCCGCATGAAGCACAGTCGGGTCACAAGGAAGCACGAAGGCAAGCACTCGCTGCCCGCCGCTTCAAAGAAGAAAGGTGAATTCCAGTTTGTCAGATTCTGAAATGGCTGAAATGCTGCACGCCTTCACCGCATTGCATTTGGATTAAATGTTCATAAACTGCCCGAAGTAAGAGTTAGTAAAGTTTGAGGAACTAGATAAAAATATAGGACCCATCAGTTCATAAACAAGGGAAAAAACAACCAATATTCTTCAGTCAAAACTATTTTGTTCCACTTTTGTGAGTGACTCTAAATATTAAAAAAATGTTTTTTTGTCTCTTTTCACTAAAAATAAAAAGAGACAATTTAAAAGACAAAAAGTAGGTCTGCGTAACAACAAACAAGTGAAATAGTCCAGGAGCTGCTGAAATGACATGAGTCGAGGTCTGGCGCCATCTTGTGGTACAACCTGATCACTACATTGGGAAATCAGTAACCTTCCAGGTGCCTCATGCTTTTATTTTGCACCGCAGCTTAAAATGTTGTGTGCATCTGTACTCAACACCAATCCTTCATACAACAACGTTTCACTGCCTATACTGCTGCATTTTGTCTCTATCAGTTTTGCACATGTGGAGGATTCTTTTTGTTTTCAATTCACCAATTAGTTCATGCAAAACAAGCATTGTACACTAGCAAACAGAGGCATTAATCTACAAAATAACCAATTAAATATTAGAACAACCAACACCAAAAAAAAAAAGAAAAAAAAAATGGGTACAAATTAAAACGGATCTAGGACAAAGACAAAAATGTAATTGTTTAACATTCGAGTTTAACATTCGAGTTCATTTTTTCTTCTTTCCATCTTCATTTTTTGATATTTTTTAATTATTATTCTTTTCTTTAACATTTCTTGCTTTAATTAATCTTCCTGTGTGGTTCGGGTTGTTGTCCTGCTGAAAGGTGAACTTCCACTAATTCCTTCTCAGCCTCCACCAGGTGTTCAAACTCTCTGAGGTTACTTACCAACCTAACCCTGCTTTAAGCATCTGTGTTCCTTTTTTTGATGCTGCTTAAACACTAACTTTCTCCAACAAACAAACATAAACTCCCACTAAAACACGTCGAGCGTCGTCGCCTCACGCGTTGTTTCTGCCCACAGAGAGCTACAGGTACTGCACCCTCCACTGCACCGGATACATGCGGACCTGGCCAAGCGGCCAGCTGGACCCGGAGGGCGACGCCGCCGACAAGGAGACGCCCAGCCTGAACTGCCTGGTGACGGTGTGCCGCCTCCACCCCCACGTCTCCCACCAGCCCCCTAAAGACGTCAACGTCAAAGCCACCGAGTTCGTAACCCGCTGTGCAATCGACGGCAAGTTCACTTTTGTAGATCAACAGTGAGTTTCCACTTTCTAACTACGTCCATCCGCACCATTGATCTTGTCCTCCCCCCCATCCCCTACAAACCCCTTCACCACCACCACCCTCGCCGTCGGTTACGGGTTTGCTCTGAAGCCACGGTTCAGCTGAGAAAGGAATGGCAGAGGCTTGTTGTGGCGTCGATTCCTCTGTCAGTGGAGATAATCCTTTCTGTCTTTGCCGTTGTTTCTCAGAAGAAGCTGTGCGTCTTGATGGCATCACATGACAATCTCTTCTCACTTTTTTGGGAAGTAATTACACAACACCAATAATGTAAAGTGATTCAAGTTTGTCCAATTTCTGGTGTGAAATGTTGAGGCTGCTGTTCAGCTTTTGCTAGAATGCATTTTATTGGACACAATCTTCGGAGGTGGTAGGAAGACAGAGAAGGCCTGAATAGTTAAACTCCACCCCTTCTGTTTCCTACACAGAGCCACGACAGTCATTGGTTATTTGCCGCAGGAAGTTCTTGGCACCTCCTGTTACGAGTACTTCCACCAGGACGACCTGCAGCACATGGCGGGGAAGCACCGGCAAGGTGATGGAGCAAACTGTAAACGTAGAAATCCCCAACTTTCAACACCTGGAAGAAGGTTTTCACGCATCATTTAGAAGTCCTTAGAAGTTCTTTTTGATGAAGTCCAATGTCTTGTGCAGTTCTTCGAAGCAAAGAGAAGATTGAGACCCAGTGCTACAAGTTCAAAACAAAACACGGCCCCTATGTTACACTCCAAAGCCAGTGGTTTAGCTTCACCAATCCGTGGACCAAAGAAGTCGAGTTCATCGTCTCTTCGAACAGGGTTATCTCGTAAGTGTGTTTCCCCGCTCAGATTGGGTTCGTATTTCATGCATTATATCTACAAGCTGCAATGCTGCTCTGCACCAACAGGGGGCCTGGTCACACAAAAGACGAAAACGAGGCTGGCAGCTCGAAATCGACTCAGGGTGAGGTTTTCATTCAAAACTGTAAAATCAAGATGTTTTCTTGATCTTGCCTTTCACACTTGAATAAAGCCATGTATAGTTTTTCCATTCCTTCCCAAAAGCAGGAAGCTTTGAGTAGATATACCTCATAAAATTAAGTGAAAATATTCCAGGGAAATGAATACTTAATTCTTTGAGGCTTTGCTTTAGCAGAAGAAGCACAGCAAATCCCGGAGATTCCTGGCCTCTCCACTGGTGTGGGCACCATGATCTACGCAGGCAGCATAGGGACCCAGATCGCAAACGAACTGAGCGACACATACAGGTAAAACGCTTTTGGTATGATATGTGAGAAATAATGCTAATATTTTTAAAACTAGCATGAATAATTGGATGGTACCATTAAAAAAGTCCAAACAAGTCATACAAATAAGCAATAAGCCATGTAGAAAGACATGAAGACTGTTGTGACAGAAAATCACATGAAAGGCAGATTTAGGGTGCATTCACACCAGCCATGTTTAGTCTGCTTTAATCGAACTCCAGTCTGGTTGTCTGTGTGCTTGGGGAAGTCTGAATACGTAATCAAACTCTGATGTGGACCAAAAAAAGTGAAATCTGATCCGCTGCCTACAAACCTCAGTCTTGGTTCGGTTGAAGTGAAATCTGGTGCCGTTCAAATGCACCAGACTGCTCCAAAAGCAGGAAGCGGACTATAGCGCAGGGCATTCTGGGTAAATACAATGAAAACAAATGCACAAGTCTAAAACTAGTGGGAGAAATGGCTCATGGCAGTTCCCTTGTGAAAAATAAATATAGTATGAATATAAAGTTCTAGCATATTCGAGCATGGTTGAAGCCAGACTAACCATCAGTATGATTGAAGTATGTTATTTTGGAACAATGAATTTTGTGCTTCGTGTATTTTAATTGTAAATAAATTGTAGAAAATCACAGTTTGAAGTGTACTAAGTGTACTATCACGTGTTTTTGGAACAAATAAAGGTATCCTTTGTACACTTTGAATGTACATTAAAAATATACATTTTTACAAATATATGCAAAGTGTAATTTTTAAAGGATTATCCAAAGTATAATTTTAATAATATTTTTAATTAGAACTTAAAGTATATTTTAGAAAAAAAAAAAAACTTTTAGAAAGTGTTCCAAAATATACTTGTCATTGCCTTCCACGGTTCTTAGTGCAGCGCCACCACAGGCGAGGAGGAGAACAGGTTTTTCAATTGTTTTGGTTGGTTTGACACAGTGCAGTGTGAAAGTGAACCGCACTGAAAATGTAAGAAATGTTGCAATTTTGGTCCCCAATTGAGCAGCATTAGACCTTCAAGGTTTGAATACCTTAAGCACACATCTCCAGAGTTTTATGTCTATTTTTAACAGGGCAAACTCGTCCCCATCGAGTGGAGCTTCTAGTCCATTTGGTTCTGTCCAGGAGAAATGTCCACTCACCAGCAGGAGCGTAAGTTGCCTCACTTCTACTGAAGACCGTCAAACACAGCGTATTTCTGCTTTAACTTTGAGCTTTAAGGTGCCTCTGACTTTTGCAGACTCCCAGCAGAGAAGAGGAAGCAGGCAGCTCTTCAACCTCCCAGTCCCAGGCTGATTCCAGTAAGGAAGCTGCTAAAAGCAGTGGAGCTCCTGAGAGTGGAGGTAGTTTTAGTTTGTTGGCAATTTCAAACACAACTTCAGTACATCAAAATTGTGTGAAAATCAATGTTTGGTACTCGAATGGACGGAAAATGGTATTTAATAGTTTGAACGTCCTGTTTTAAGTAATCAGGTAATCAGGCTAGCAACAATTAGCAGTGCAAGCTAATATTTTATTTCTCAACAATGTATGCATTTAAACACAAATGCAAAGGTTTGTCAGTAGATGTTCAGTACTGATTTTAAAAAATTCAGACCATTGAAAGTGAAAGTAAACTATTGTTATTATTAATATTGTCATTAGTATTGTAACTATTGTTACTATTATTACTATTATTATAATATTGTCACGATTGTTACTATTGCAAATATAGTGTTTAGATGGGTGGCAGCCATGATTTGAAACTTGAGACATATTAGTTTGTGTTCAAATGTAACACATTATGTATTAGCACCCAAATAAGCCCAATAAAGCATACAAGTACTTGCTTACAAGTAAACAAGACAGGATTCAAGGACAATAACTTGCCTTGAAAACAAAGCCCTTAGCATTGCTGAAAGTTTTAGATGAGAGTTCCTGAAGTTCATCCCTGTTCGCTGTCCCCCAGGTGAGCTGTCCCAGCTGGACCTGGATGTCTCAGGGCTCAGTAGCTTCAGCAGTGACGAGGCAGCCATGGCGGTCATCATGAGCCTGCTGGAGACCGACGTGAACATGAGCCAATCGGGGGACTTTGAGGATTTACACTGGCCTTTCTAGAGGGAGCGTGGACTCTCAGCACCCCCTCTAAAGTTCTTGTGCCCTTTTTTTTTTTTTTGCCAAATGCCACAAACCTGTGAACCGTTTAACAAACTGTTATCTGAAGACTTACCTATCCTCAACCAAGTAAAGGCGCTGGACTTGTCCTAAAAGTTGCAACATGTCTTACTTGAGAACAGAATTTTGTGACTGATCGTCTTGTTGGTTTCTTGGTTCTTGCTTGAAGCATGTTGAGGGTAAAGTGCCCCTGGAGCCAGTGGTGAGGCAGAGTCTTCCTCAGCGAGACGTTAGCACCTTAAGGGGGGTCTAGACCAACACATTCTACAGAAAACTAAAGGAACAAAGTATTTGCTCCGCTGCCATCAGTTACCAAGGTGGAAGAAGAAGAACGAGACTCTTGACAAATTGAGTGCTGCTATAGAAACTCCTCAAACTTTGAACAGTCGTGTATCCACTGGTACACGGTGAAAACGGTCATGTTTTCCATTACATGGATGATTGTCTTTCTTTTGTTGTTTTTATTTGAATTTTTGAAGCCCTATTTGCAAAAAAACTGTCAAGTAAAAGTGAGATAATTCTCTAAAAGGAGGTGTTTTGTGCAAACTTGTGTTCAGAGATTGTTGAAATAAGAATATTTATCCTTCTAGCTCCCCTAGATTTTGGTGTTTAAAAAGACAGACTCAATCACCCACATGTGGTTTATTTTTAGTTATACATAAAAATTCTGAAACTAATTTTGTTGTTATTCTAAAATGAGTAACAATAAAGCATCACAATAAACCCCAACGTTATTAGCACAGGACAGTCACTTGTGGGTACAAACCCAATTGACTAGGGTTGAGGTTATTTTGTATATCTGTCTTGCTTGTAGAAAAATATTCTGCCGCTTTTTATCAATTTTCTTTTCCATACTTTTTTTTCTTTCACACACCCTTACTACGCACATGACACTGTAGCATACACAAATTGGCTACTACAAATTTTTTTGGGCATGTCGGAAGATTTTGCCACATTACTGACACAGCTCACAAAACCCCACATATAAATACATATACATGTCCACTATTGCTACAAAAATGATCCAACTATGGCTCACAAATCTGTTACATTAACCCTTTTTATGCCACTCCGTATTGTGTGCTGTGCTATGCAGACGTCTCGATACTTGAAACTGAAAGTGAAACTGATGGCATGCCCAACTTTTTGATTGATTCAGCTAATCATTTAGTTGTTAGAATTATCTAAACATTCAGGAGCACACATAAAGCCTAAAGAAAACAAACTGAAAATGAGACAGTGACGTAAGAGCAAAGAATAATATCTCAATCCTGATACAGACACACTGTGAATGGCATGGACTATTCCACAATGGAAGCACATCAGAAGCAGCATACATACCTGGATAATGGAGAGTACGGCTTGACAGCATCTTTTCAGTGTTCTCTGGACTTTGGGAAGAGAATCTGACCCACAGCAGCCCAGATCCTCCACCATATTCAACACCTGGCCTGAGGCGCTCTTCCACATGTTCACTCTTTATTTTGTAACAAAGACTTTGGCATTGTCTTTGTCTCACCAAAACACAGGGTTTCAGTAAAAGTTCGAGAAAAGCTTAGCAAACTCCACATGTTTACATTTGTGATGGTTGTGCAGAAAATGCTTTTATGTGACATCACTCCCAAAACAACCAGTTGAGGTGTAAGTTGAATCCCATGGTGGTTAAGCTAGCTAGCCGATAGCTAGCTTACATAGCAAGCTTGTTGTGTCATGTTATGTTTAAACCTACAGGATGAAAAAAGTGTCATATTTTACTAATTAGAAGTTATAATCAAATTTAAAATACTTCAGTGGCATTTATTTTAGAGGATTATTAGGAATTTCAATAACTTTGCCTGGAACGTAGATGTAAACAGTTATAATTTTTGACATGGATGCCCCCCACTAAATAAATGTATCTAATTTAAAGGCTGTGATATTCTAAATTCTTATTTGTGAGATTATGCAACTTCATTAAATAATTCATTTTACGACTTTTTACACATCTTTACCAATAAATCTTGGTGACACGGTGAAGGCAGATGAACAATGACACAGCACAGAAAGTACTGTCATTTATTTATGTAACAAAGCCAAATTGTACCAGCTTTCTATAAAACATTTATATGTTTCTGTCAGTGGAATGTTAAGGGTAAGTAGAAGCCAGCTGCAGCAAAACAGTAACACAGAGCTGTAATGCAATGATAAAGATAATATAACTAAAACACATCTCCAAATTATATTGCAAAAAAGATCTTTATTACCAAATAATACACATGTTCATTTGAATCCTTTGGAAAATATGTAATATATTGTTTTATTCACACAGTTCTTATGTTCTCCACAGTTGGGCTGCTGGACGGTTCATTTCGTCTTTTTTTTGTCAGAAACATTTCTATTTCTAGCTTGCTACGCTAAGCTAGCTTGAGGATCAAAGCAGTTTGATCAATTTGACTTGCAGCCAATCAGAAAATGAGCATCAGAAATAGCATTTAAATATATTTTTTAAGTTATATTTTAATCTAAACACAAATATTGACAAACAAAACTAAAATTATGATGAAAAATTAAGGCAAAAAAAATAATAATAATCGGCATTCTCCTCCCCCCCTTATCTTCCCTCCAGCTTTCTGAAGGCTCCACAGCGCCCCCTAGCGGTCCCCCACTTTGAAAAACACTGAACTAGTCTCATTCGTATTTTCCAGTTTGCTTACAGGCAGAATTTTTTCCTTTGGTTTGCCATGCAAGCAAAAATGTTTTTTTTTTTTTTTTTTTTTTTCAGTCAAGCACTCAGATGCTTTGTGTTTATTTTCATGTGCCTTGTCTTGCAGATTGGTTTTATCCGTCATAAGATGGTGTTTGAATTCACATTTGCAAATATGATTCCTGGGTTGGAAAATAAGCTATATATTTGGGATCAAGATGTAATCTGTTTTATTTTCCAACCAGCAAACAAACAGCAGTTGTGACACACTGGATCCTCAAATGTTGAAAACATGACATTATTGCCTTGACGACACATCGCTTGTGAAATGAAACAGAAATGAAATTCTTCATCAATTCAAAAACAAAATTGATTCATGATGTATGTTGGCATGTGTCATATAAGTAGAGCACTAATGGATACTGGTCATATCCTGCGATGAAAAGACATGTTCTGATGTTTGTATGTTGTATTCAGATGGCTGGCAATGAACACTTTGACAGTAAAAGAGAATTTTTCAGAATATTTAATTCACTCCAGTTTTATTTTCACACCAAACGTTATTTTAATACATCAGAGGGGAACCAAGCAAATTCAATTAATTGATTGTGGTGCAGTTGCCTTTATTCATCTCACTGTCCTTTGTAGAAGCTTTATTTCCTACAAAGGACATTTATTCGTCTTGCCTTGGACAGATAGAACAGAGGACCTATGATGAGACCAGACTTAGGGAACAGCCTTGATAATTCAAAGAGAGTACACATCACATTGTTAATTGCTGAATGCCGGTAATACTCATAAAGGACAACAGGAAACATCACAAGGACTGGGAGGAAAGACATCACTGAAAGCACCATCACAGCCAGCACGTTACTTGCTGCCCGTCTCTTCGAGGAGGACACACCATGGGCTTGGTTTTGGGCAGAACTTTTCAGCCACAGTGACCGGACCACACCCCAGAGGGAGGCAAGCATTATCAGGAAGAGACAGGATATGATGATAGACACAGGCACCATCATCCTAACCATATCTTGCATCAAACCTGAGCAATGCAAGAAAGCAAAGTTAACAAGACTTATGAGGGAAAAGATTTTCAGACAAAATCTGAGATCCCAAAATGCATCTAGCTCCTGCATTCTTGCTTTGAGAGACTTGCTAACAAGGCGTTTTGCCTGCTCTGGTAAATGTGACACCTAGAGTTTTTCTGCTCTACCCCAGCACTTACCAATGGCCAAACAAAAAGACATGGTGAGCGTCCATGCCGTTCCAGAAACAGCCATGCGATACTCCCGTCTGCTCAGCCTCAGGTACAGCACCGGTCTGACCACCGCCCCATAGCGCTCAATGCACATACAGGCTAACAGCAGTGGACAACCAATCAGGTTGAACATACTGAAGATGTCTTTTGTTATCTTAATTCCATACGGTGAACTGCTAGACACTGAAAAAGTGGATGGCAAGAGAGTTATGGGTTTATAAGAGCCTTTGGGAGGCTGGAAGTATATTGAGGCAATGCCAGGATAAACAGGAAAAAAAAACACTTCTATTAAATATGAATCAAGCATATGCTCAGATCAGTACAAATACTTACCTTCAACAACTGTTGTAACCCATTGTCAGGATGTGCAAAAGGCCTTTAAGTATTTGCATATTCTACAAGTGAAAATTTTAGTAAAATCCTTTTTATAACCCGTCTCTTCCTATAAATACTGCAGGCATGTTTCCCATTTAACAGTTTATCATGCTGGATTATGATATTGGGCCACACAAAATTATTCCAAGTGGATCCCAGGCTGCACTTCAATATTGTTGTCTTTCATGTTTTAAGTAGTAGCTAAAAGAAACGACTTTTGTCTCACATCATATTTCCATCTCAGGGAAACAGGAAGTTATGAATTAGTTCCTAGAAGCTCTGACCAACCTACAAAGTCAAGTAAGACTTTTGACAATTAGGGTGTCTTCCCCCCTGCCCCCCCTAACAGCTGGAATTTATCCAAATTAAAGGATGCATTTTTTATGAAATGATTTTAAGTCTATTTACACAAAGATAGAGTGCCAGAAAGGGAGGGGGAACTTTGTCTTCATTTCCTCACCTGAATAATTAGTTGTGCTGACTGGTTCCATCATTCCATTGTAAAGCAACTCAACAGGCATAATTAGGAGGTACAGCAGATCCATAAGGACAAGATTCACGCCAAGAACCTTGAAAGCAAAGTTGTTTCGTTCAGGTCTTCAGGCAGAAAATCTGAAATTCTCCTTCAATTTCAGGTGCAAAATAATCTTTCAAGTCCCAAACTCATTAAGTCAAAGGTGCATGAAGGATTACTTTTCTTTCCTTTCCTGAAACATGGATTTAATTTAACATGCATAATTACTTCACTGTAAACTAGTTAAATCTCTTTTACCTGTGAAGCAGAGAGTATTCTCCTTTCTTTAAAAAAAACAACCAAAGGAGAGCAGCGTTGGCCACCAACCCGATGATCAGGATGAAAATGTCAGTGGCGAACCAGACGTTATTCAGTCCCAGCCGACTGCAGTCCACCATCATGGCGTGTAAATAGTCAATCTGCCGGGAGTTCTCATTGTTGAAGATGTCAGGAAGAAGCATGCTGGCAGTCTTTTGTCCAGGGTCGCTTCAAACAGAGTTCTGTTAGATCAAAAAGTTGTGATAATAGAGATACTAGCAACACAAACATACACTTTACCACTCTGAAATATGTCATGTAACTTAGCACTCCCTTCAAAGTAGACTAAAGACTACACAAGTCTAAGCATTTCCCCGGACACAGAAATTAACAGTCCACAATTTCCTTACCAATATGTAACCAGGTGAAAAAAAAGAGTACCTGTAAAATATATTTTGAAAATCCTGTTTTGCTTTTATTTCACCTGCAGGATGTAGTTCTTGTTTTTTTGTCAGCATGTGCTGTTGTGATACAGCTAGGTGTAATACATAAAATTGAAAAAAACCTCTTGCATGTCTGGAGTATGCTGTGGCTCTCTGACTGAGAAGGACCAGCGAGGTGTACTTGGTCTGACTGGGAAAAGACGGAAGAGAAGGACATTTTTGAGCCAGGGCTGGTTGGCTAAGACGAAGTTGATGGCTACATGGCTAGAGTCAAGATTTTCGGTAATTAATGTCTGAAATGTATTATTTTCCATGTACGAAGCTAAAGTAATGATGCCGTTGTCACTTTCTGTTTTTCCTCTTTTAGAGGTGCTACTGCCGTTTTATGTACCATTTTATTGCAGTTTGTTGTGTAGCTGTTGAGGCTGTTAAGGCGCCATTTTGTTGAAGCCATTGCTTGTTAGGAGGCAATTCATGCAACACAGGGCTGTTTTTGCTCCATATTTTGAACTTTATTTTTTATTTTTGCGGTTCAGACTGTCAAGTGTCCCGTTTTGGAAGGGAAACTACCGTATTTTACTCCTCTGCCCCATCGTTCTCCCGTATTAATAATTTCCCGTAAATTAGGTCGAATAACCCCTTCGTCCCCCCGCTCTCAGGACAGTCACTTCTCGCTCATTTGGCAGTAGTCGATAGTAAGTACTTTCCCGCGCAACATTAATTTTCATGATGTGCTCCATTACATGCATCACGATTCCCCGCATGTTCGATTCTGGACTTGACTGCCTCTTTGTATTGAAAGTCTCGTGATCTTTGGCAGTACCATCAGAAATGCGAGGTGCTGACAGGTTGGGAACCACTAGTTAGCAGAAATATTTTTGGAAGCAGAAATGTGTCACCGCTCATGCTGAGCCTCCCTGCTGAGTTTTGAGGATATTTTCAGACTTTTCACCGGATGTCTGGTGCGCTTCAGTCTTTGGGACAATTTGCTTTGGCAGGATAAATATCATGAGTGTTTTGACAAAACAGTGTAAACCAAAATTACCTGAAAACATTCTGTTGTGAAATGTTGCAACATTAATTTAGCATAAAGTTTATGTTTAAGTAGTAGCGTCTAACCTGCTACTTTAAAATGCTTTTAAAGTACATTCATGAAAAAAATTGGCTTTAAATTACACATAACCAGCCATCTGATCACTTGCAGTTTAATCAGATTTTCATACTGCAATTCTTTATTCTGTTTGCAAGTGAATGGGAAAAAAAAATAATACAGGATCTCTTACCTCTCGAATGTTTCTCAATCTTTAACCAGCCGGTTCTCACTCCTGCAAAACTGTCAGCCTTTACATCATGCAAACACAATAGAACCGAGCAGACACAAAACAAATGAGCAGGTGTTCACTGTTGATTTTTTTTTCCACCCCAAATGCAAAAATCATCTTCTTGTTTTGTCTGTCTAAAGATGAAACATCCACACACATTCAGATAATGGTACTTAAATGCAAGTTATTTTAATAAAAGATAAATAACAAAGCAATAAAGTAGCAATGCTGTTGATTTTTTTTGTTTTTGCCATGTTGCAATCAAAACTAAGCAATAGTGCAATCATTTCTAATGGACTGATGTTACTTAATCACACAGGTCAAATTTACAGTTTTGTAAGCAAAACCTTTTGCGTTTTGAAAGTGAAGCTATGACTCCTGGAATGAAGCTCTCTCGTTTGAGCTGGAGGAACAGCAGATTTGGTCTGGACTGATTGGGATTGGGGTGGAATCTGTTTTTAGATGTATGGATATTCAAAAATACTTTATTGATCCCAAACGGAAACTGAATAATGATTATGAATTATATTCCTAAACTCTTCATTTTCAGTGATAACTTTAGAGAATTTCTTAGAATTTAAAGTGGTGCAGTATGCCTGAAGAAGAAATACAACCAGCAACTTGTGTGGTGATGAGAAAACAACTAGGACAAGAGCTGCTTTGACTGCAACTTTCAGGAAACAACAATTCCATTTCTCTACAAGGAGACCAAAGCAAAGTCACAAGATGTCTGAAAGCAGATAGGGTCGCTTGAAAGGATGGACAGCCATTGTCATAGAATTATAACCTTGTATTTTCTGATGCATGGCACATAGCGGGTTGTGTGTACTAAAGGAAAGCCGTGTCTGAGGGTCACATCGGTGTAAATATGGATGAGCTGTAAAAGATTGTAGCATAGGAATGGCAAATCATTAAGAATGGCACAGCATTAGGGACAAAATTAAATTGTTAAGCAGAGAGACCAGGGCTGACATATGAGAAAGCAACTACTCACTTGGTTTAGCATTGGAGAAGCTAGTGACTAGCATGCAGAGGTTGGTCACCCACTGGACTGGCTACTTCCTCTGTTTTCCATTAGCTTGGGTAGGCTGATATTAGCTTTGGAGAGGCTATACACTAGCATGCCTGGCTGGTCATTCGCTTTATTGGATTTTTTTTCTTTTGAGAATGGTTGTAAAAAAAATATCTGGAAGGAGTCAGCGTTAGAAGCTTTGACATGTTCTTTTGACAGAATTGACTGTAATCCAACGTGACACCAAGCATAAACATAGATACGCGATACTGTATTATACGTAGCTGAAGTTGGCTTTCAATTGCAGCTTTCCGATCCTGAAAATGACCATGTTAAGCTTGAATAACATTGCTGTGGGGTGACTGTTTGCCACTGTCAGAAATAAAAACAAGGTGAACATAATAATTTGAAATGAATGAATGAAATGAACATGGTGTTATTTATGTCTATTTATCTTACACATCATTTCACTTTTAAGACTTAATGAAAGGCTATCCAGCTCAAGTGGTTCAAAGCTGAAAACAGCAGGTTTGTTTGTGTTTTAAGATGTACCAACATAATAAAAAGAAGAGAAAAAACTTCCAAATATAACATAAATGCATGTACATGTATTAATAGCTAACAAAATAAAGCTTAAGGTTATGGAGTTTATCTACAGTGCTTTGCAAAACTATTTAAACCCCTTGAACTTTTCCACATTTCATCATGGTATAAACACAAACCTTAATATGTTTCATTGAGAATTCATGTGAAAACCAAGAACATCGTAGGGTATAACTATAAAGTGGAAGAAAAAGAAGACAAGACTTTGCTAAATTTTTACAAAGAAAATTTTGTCTTTTGCATCTAAGCCTCCTTACTCTGACACCAATTATGAAATTTAAAGGAACAAATCGCCTTAAAATGATATCTAATTATTTAAGTCAACCTGTGCCAAATTTAGCTTTTTAGTAATTGCAAATAAAATGACTGGCCAGGTAAGAAGAATATGGCATCACATTCCTGCCAAAAATCCTGAGGAGTGTATTAAGGAAACACAACAGAGCATCATTTATTAATCAACAGAGCATGCTTTGACCATGGACATTTCCACTTATTCACAGACCCGTGAATGCAGCACACCAAGTGGTAAAACAATTACTAATAATTAATGAATACGCTCCTCAGAGTTTTTGGCAGAAATGTGTTGCCATAGGAAATATTAAGCAGAGAAGCATAATTAATGAAAGGCCTGTGGTAAAATCTGGAAGAGTTGCAGACATCCACAGTTCAGCTGTGAGAACCTGTCAGAAGAATGATTATAAGTCAATACAGACAAACAGACTTTTATGGAGGAATGACAAGAAGGAAGTTATTGCCACAACTCTTGTTGGGGACACAGGAAACATGGACGAAGTTACTCTGGTTTATCACTCTGGTGATAAAGCCTCTTCTCCATGGGCGTGGCTTTAACTGGTTCTTCCTCAATCGGTTCCAGACAGATTCGTGTCAGGGTAGGATCCTGGACGGATCCAAGATTAGCCGGGTCATGCCAGGTATTGAATGCAAGCGACACGTTTGGCAGCAGACTGCATTCGTTGATTGGCTCATAGTTCTATGTCACTGGATAGGCATAGGCGGTACTTGCGGAATAGCGCTTACAGTGTAAATGGTTCAGGGCAACCCGTAACAAACGAATATAAAGAGAGACAAAATGATATTATCGACATATTGACCAGAGCTAATGTCCGCTCACATTCCCACATTCCTGCCCAATATAGTGAGATGCACATTGCCAACAGGTATGTGGCTAGACCCAAACCAGACATTAACCGGCTAGACCGAAAGTTGATAATGTAGAAGGGGCTTAATATCGCACAGCATCCTGAACAAACCGTCTCCAGATTCATGCAACTTTAAAAGTTAAAGGAAAGATGGATGGAGGATAAGTGTATAAGAGCAATCATGGAAGAAAGCCTCTTAGAGGCTGCAAAAGACTTGCTCACCGTCCAGCAGTACAATGATCCTGAACATACATCCAGAAATACAACAGAACAGTTTAGATCAAAGCACTTTTATTTGTTAGATCAGTCGAGTTCCAACCTAAATCCTATGCTTGCTTCCCAATTCCTATTGAGCTCGAGCATTTGTGCACAGAAGGGCAGACAAAAAGCTAGTAGATACCCCAAAAGTATGACAGTCGTGTACTTGTACTTCATTGCCACCCAAAATGTGGAAGGATGAAAGAGAGACTGTATGTTTACTTTTGCAAGAGACTGTAATCTATACTGCTAGACTTTATACACAAACTCAACAGAGTTTACAATGGATCAACAATAGATTTGCATTTTTTTACACCACTTTTATTATATAAAACCAGAGATTATCTTAAAAATGATCATCTTCAACATATACGTTGCTCTTTGAACTCTGGTGCTGTAGGACTCAAAGAAAGCTCTATATACTCGATCTAAGCAAACC